AGCCTCCTGCAGGTGAGGGCCTTCACCATGCTCCGATAAAGACCTCACTGACAAAACATAATTCTCTGATGCAACACTGCAATAGTCTCACATCAGCCGCACGCTACTCCACATCTTAATGTGCTTTGGTGAAAACGTTGTTTGTTGTCGGCTGTTTGATCTGTGACGAGTTGTCTGGGTGATTTTGTTTTTTGTGTTTTTTGGCAGGTAATTCAATCTCTTCCTCATCCGCTATTAGAGTTGCCTCTGTCCCTGCTGAGCCGTTTGCTCCTGTGTGACCCCGAGCGCTCTGTTTCCCGCCTCGGAAAATCTGCTTGTGTTTTTTTTCGCGCCACCCAGGGACATCCAGCTCTCTGCAGGCCCGACTCCACTGAGCAGAACTGCCAGCTCTCTGCTCTCTGACTTGCTGCAGCTAGACACACTGTGGGACTCTGCCGTGGAGCTGTTGACTCTGTTGTCTCTTGTGGCCCGTTGTTCCCGTTGTCCCGCCCACATTCAGCTTCACCTGGAAGCCTCGGCACTGCACCAGGCTCTGACTCACCCCTGTGACCAGATCAGGGCTGCCGCTTGCAGACTGATAGGAAACGTGGATCCATTCAGGCCTCCTACACTGAAACCTGACATTTTCAAAAGCATGATAAACTGTCTTCATGATCCCTGCATGCCTGTCCGGAGGATGGCTTGCAGGGCAGTGGGGAACTGGCTGGGGTATATTGCAGCGGGGGAAGGGTTTAAGGAGTCCAATAGAAAGGGCAGTGACACTTCAGGGAGGGGCAGAGAGAAGGAACACAAGTTTCAACTCGGTAAGGGTGATTTGGGTACTATAGCAGAACAGGGAGTGGAAGATGAGGAGCGGTGCAGGTGGATGGAGGGAGCAGGGAGGGCGGCGGCCATGTTGGCGCCTCTGATCAACGACCGCGACGCCCTCACACGGCGTCACTGTTGTGCAGCCCTGGGAAACCTGGTGAAGGATGACAGCGCTGTTTCCTCGTTGTCGAAGAAAGACATGTGCAGCTTACTTCTGAGGGCCGCATGCATGGATTCCCATAATGCAGTGAGGCAAGCTGCCATTGCAACCCTGTGCCTGTACAGCGAGCAGGAATCAGTACGTCAGGTAAATAAATAAACAGGTTATAGCAGGGACGATGTCGACAGTAAAGTCAGTTTTCTGATCATGACATTACAATGAGGTTCTTACCTCTTTAAGAATTTGGTTAAAATTACCTATTTGGAATCAACACGTGTTAATTACTAAAAGAAAGCAACAAGTATGTATAGTTTCTTTATGGAAAAAACAAGCCACAATATTTTTATTTTAATGTCCCTTTTATTACTATCAGTATTTTCTCTTTCATTCCTTCATACAATTGTTTTACTTGTATTATTACCTGCGTTCTACCTGTCATGGCTTTGTGTGCCTGTATACAAATATTCTTGTGTTAGTAACTTTCTTTTCTATCCCTTTGAAGGTCCTTAGATCTCTGGATGCCAGTAAGAAACTTGTTCAGGCTTCACAACATGCACCTCCACAATGTGACTATCATCAGCTCATCAGACAGCTGGAAGTGAGTCCAGTCTAGGAATAAGGGCAGACTTAAATGTTCTCCTTCCTCACCTAACTATACGTCTTCCTCCTGCAGTGTGTCGTAGAGGAATACAGACCTAGTTGTTTTCTAGTGTTTTTTCTTTATTCAAAGATTTTGTGAACAAAGAATCAAAATGATGGAATAAAAAACTAACTTTTATAAATTGAGATCTTTGTTGGCACAGCTGAAATTGTGTTCAAATAAAACAATAGTTTATTTGATGTTTTTATTTAATTATATCGTTTGTTCAAACATTGTAAGAAAAATAACAAATGTAGGCCTATCGAAATTTCACATAAATTAAGCAAGAATATATTTACTAAAGTAGGCCTACTGTACTTAAGTACACATTTGAGATACTTGTACTTTACTTGAGTATTTCCATTGTATGCTACTTTTTAACTCCACAACAAGTCAGAGGTAAATCCTATACTTTTACTCCACTACATGTATTTAATAGCTTTAGTTACTTCACAGATCTGGATGAATGATGTGAAATATAATCAAGTCTTAAATCAGACTTTAGTTCCACCTGGAGTAAATTCACAAGCTACCCTGCAGTATACAAAGTCATTCAAACTAGCTGCACCTTTACCAGCTTTGAGAACACTTTAATGATCAATCATTATAAAACATATCATATATATTATTCTGAAATGGACCAATCTGCATAATGAGTACTTTTAATTTTGGTACTTTTAAGTATATTTTGATACTAATACTTTTTACTTGAGTAACATTTTGAATGCAGGACTTTTACTGTAACAGAGTATTCCTACACTCTGGTACTTCTACTTTCACTAAAAGATACTCAAAAGTCTAAAAGTACTTCTCCCACCTCTGTATTTACCTAAGTACTCTTCAATAATCTAATAATGACAATTAATCGTTATTAGAGCAACACGTGGTTGGGGGTATTTAACGTCTCAATTATATATTTTTTTCTCTGCTGTCATAGAAGCGAAAGTAGTTGTGTGTGTTTGTTGTGTTCATGTGTTGCGGACGTCATTGACTTATTGATATAAAGTCGTGTTTCCTTACCCGAATTGACCGTACAGAGGATTTCGTCTCATGCACGGATTAAAAGACATTTAAGGCAAAACGGGTTATCGGACAGCTGGAGGCTCAAGTGATTGCTTTCTTTCTAAATGAAATCGTCTTGATGTATTGAACTGCCGGGCCGCTGACAGTAAAATATCGCGTTAACAGGCAGGCAGTTTTTGAAAGACGTTGAATACATTTTTGTAACTGTTTTCTTTTTGCAGCAACTTAGACTTAACACTAACCTACAGATGATAATAATAATAATAACAATACAAATAATACTTATGATAATACTATTTTGAATTCTTTTAAATCATGTAGTCGATATGAATGCTCCGCGGGGTCGGATCAAACAGCAGGGCGTGTCGGCGTCCACCCGGCCTGCAGGTTTGGACCTTTATATATACAGTCTATGGTTTGAACTAATCTGTTATATTTAATCCTAAAACGGCTCTAATTGTTCCAAAAAGAATTACACAGGAGCTTTTAATTTATGAAACTTGTTTAAGTTGATGCAGGTAAATGTAATTTGCAGTCAATTTCGCAAATCGGACAGAAAAAGGAAGACAAACACAAAGGACCGCTTCTTCGAGCCACACTTTATTTCTTTTAGAAGAAAAAAAACTTTACGTCACAAAAAGGAAATGTGCAGATATGATTAAATGAACATAACATTTTTGGTTTTAACAATCGGGAGTTGATAGTACACCGCAGACTGGTTGAACAAAGTGAGATACCTTTTTTGCCAAAAACTACAAAAAATACACATGATAAATAAATCTCTAAAAGAGAACTTTCATATCCATAATTGTCTTAAAATAAATATGCAAAAATATATAACGATATAGGCAGTAATTGTAGTGGTTATTTGCTTAGCAACAAATGAAATTGAAAAATAATTTATACACAATTCCCTTACACCAAAGCTAACACAAAAGCCTGAACAAACATCCTAATGACTCTTTTTGAGCTAACTTTCTACAAACACACTCCACTCCCTGAACATACAAAAGTTCTTACAAATTAGTGCAGATCAGCCAGAGGCCTATAAAAGTTATTGCCTTAACAAGTACTTCAGAGAAACAATCCCCAACTTCTGGAATCTACATTTTCTACTCCGTTTATGGAAAAACATGCAGAGGGAAGCTGCTAAAACTCCACTAGTTAAAATATTATACAAAGAAAAATTGTTTTTTACATAAGGAAAACCTGTACGCCAGTAGCACTGAAATATTTAGCGTGTACAATGAAGGATGGAAGTCTGCCTGGATCATCCACTGACATAAGACAGGAGGACAGATTGCATATCCTGAGCTGCAAAGTAGATTGTATAATTTGCAATAGAAGACATTTATACAAATACCCCACAAACACAATCACATTTCAGTTTCCTCCTTTAACAGTATCATTGATCAACTTTTTTGGTCACAAATTTATAATTTGGAGAGAAAAATGAGTCATTTGTTACATAAAAAATAATGCAAATATCAGGACAAAAAATACAAATGTAAATACAGTGGACGAAATAATGTTTCCAACAAAGCAGGGTAAATCTAAATGTTTGACATTTAGGAAAATAAATTGGAAAAAAAGGAATTTTGGGTTGTATAACCTTAAAGGTGGGGTAGGTAATTCACTTCAGAAACACTTTTTGTTATATTCCATGGAATGCTGATTTGTGTGTGTTGGAGGAGGGGCACTAAGGAAGTCTGAAGGAAGGGGCAGATTTTTTTCGGCTGCATAGTTTCAAATTCTAGCGCACTCGAGCTGGTTTCTCCATTCTTACCTACCCTACCTTTAAGTCAATCAAATAAATTGTCCAAAAACGTTATTAAAATTGCCAACCAATAGTTAAGGTTGAAGAAATAATTTTTTGCCCTTCTTTACATTAGCTGCAATTGTAAAAGTCAATACATCTTCAAGCCCAATTCGTGTATTTTAAAATATTCAAAGCGGTTAAAATAACATTTGCTGTACAAGCGATGCGAGAAAATGATTGTAGAAAAGTATTTGGTTTAAAATATGAAATAAAAAAGTAAGCGATGCAGTTTCACACCAACCACAGGTTTAACAACCTCAACTATTAAAAGTATAGTACAGTTATTGTAAATTAAAATTTGAAAAAAGACGATGAATTTCTATTGCTGACATCAATTCAAATGTAAGGCTGTTAAATGATTAAACCCGCATAATGAAAAAAAAATACTTTCCCAGAAATAACTGTACTTCAATTAGTAGATCCACGCAGTGCAATATCTTTTTTAATTGATTGTCATTTAAAGCATTGCAATGCCACAGTGCAGGCTCAAGTGATTAGAGAGAGCAAAAGCAATGGACGCATCGGATAAAGTGTTGGTTTTAACTGTCAAAAATAATTCACGTTAGCAAAGCATGCATTTAAAAAAAATTCAAACATTCACTTCTGGACAATCTTAAAGACACAAAAAGGCGCCACAATCTTCCCTGTTACGCCCACTTTAAATATACTTGCAGGAGTTCGGTGTTACGCTGTTGTGTCCTGCTTGAGCCTTTGGCTGCGGGCCTTGTAAACTTCAATCAGCAGGTCTTTGACGTACTGGATTTCACGTTCTACCGACTCTGCCTTGTCCCGGAGCTCCCGGTTCCTCCCTTCAAGGCCATGCAACTGTCCCTCCAAAGTATCAAGCTCCACCCTTTTTCTCTGGCGATACCTGCGTTAAGCAAAACAGATGACATTAATTGACCTGTGAAATAATCTTGAAAACTGTCTTTTGTAACGCAGAAAGGAAAACGTACCTGTGAGCGGCAGTTTTGTTCTGATCTCTCTTCTTCTGTTTGCGCTCGCCGCCTTCACCTGGAATGAGGTCGTCTTCGTAGTTTAAAGCACAGTGGTCTTCTTCATTTAGCCTGCATGCTTGTCTGTGACACGGAGACTCCATGTTCAGACTCTCCCTAGACATTAAAAGACACTCTGGGCCCTGATCCTCCAGGAAATTACAGTGCAAATCATGCTGCCCTATCCGTAGACTCTCTGATTTCACCTGTTCGTTGATATTGCCTAAGAAGCTATGAAAGGCCTCTGACTGCGGTGCTGCTGGAAGATAACAACCTTCACTGCTCTCTGTCTTCCATGAGGCTTTGGTGACCTCCATACTAGCTTTGATATTATTCAGCACCTCATTGTTACCGGAGACTCCGCTGACCTCCCTCATGCTATACATCAGCAGATCCTCTTTTTTGTGCGGGACATCAAGTGATCCACCAAAGCCAAATCCACCGCCGACAACCTTCGAACCACCTATGACATCTTGACTGAAACAGCAATTTTTCTCGTCTTTTGGTAGAGCGGCACATCTTCTGACCTCGACTGCACTACCCAGACAGTAGCTTTTCCCTAGCAGCTGCTCGTCCTCTACACAGTCGTAGCTACCGGTGAGGGTCACGGCCGAGTTACCTGAGTTACTTCCTTTGGAACTCAACAAACTGTTATCATAGCCCTCGAGGAACCTTGTCCCGTCAGGAACTCTTTTCCTCACACACCCAGTGGGGCGACTGCAGCTGTACGGGGCGTGTCTAGGAATTTTGGATCGCCCAATGGGCCCGCCACAGATGCTCAGCAGGTCCAGTTCACCGGTTGCCAGGGTAACAAGGAGTGGGCTGGATTCAGATTGGTTGGACGTGGAGTATGATGCATATGGCAGCTGAGTGAACGGCTGAGGACCCGTCGGCAGTGGACCCCTGTCCCATTTTCCCAGCCTCGGCCCTTTCTCTGGCAGTGGTTCAGACAGGAAGTAGTCCTCTAGTTGGGCCAGTTCCTCTTGCAGCAGAGAGGTCATGACCTCCAAGTCCGAGGGCACCTGGATATCATTCTGAAGGGGTGAAGGGGGAAGGGAGGCATTGGTGGAGGAGGGAGGGGAAGGAGGGTTTGGGAGGTACGAGGAGAAATCCACTTCTTCCGTCATCCAGTCAGTGAGACCATCACCTATCGAGGAGAGGAAAAAATTGCAATCGTTAGATGCTAAATAACCTAGTTTGTGCAAACGCTATAAAAATAGCAAACTGCAGGTAGCTGTTTTTTCATCTGCATAATCTGTAAATGCAAAGCCAGATTTCTTAAAATTATAGTTGTAGCTCATCAACGTATTAGGCGTAGCTAGTTTTTAACTTACTGTTCGAGAAGGACGAATGTGCTGCAGTGCCGATCCCACCTGGAACGGGGAAAAATATAAAAAAGCGTACTGGCTGCAACTCACCAATTAAGTGCTGAGTCTCCTCTGACACCTCCCCCCTGCACCCCTGTGATTGGCTGTGGCTAGCCTGTGGGTGAGAGAGAGCGAGGGGGTCTGCCGGGTAGACACGAAGAGTCTTCCAAACAGGAGCTGATGTTGCCATCATATTGTCTGATGGTGCTTTGATTCAGTCCAAGTCCAAGCATATGCTGAGAGCAAGCAGCGTCTGACAGATGGGCCACAGAGAGCAGGGCAGGGTGTGCATAATGAAACCTGGAAGGTAAACAGAAACATGGATCAGAGACATGCTACTAAAAAGACAACAACTTATTTTGTCGACTGGGAATCAGGAATGTCACTCTTGCTGCACTTAGCAAGTTTTTCTGATGCTGCTTTTTAAGGAGGTGTCACAATTAAGAAATCCTCTGAAGGTCATCATTATCGTGGCGTTTTGAGCAATAAGGATAATAACTCTTCAAAACATACAAAAAAAATGTTAATGATAATCAAATTGAAAACAAACTATTTCCAAAACTAACCCTTGGAGTTGACACAGTCAGTGATACACAAGTGAGAGTCCTTTGAGCTTTGAAAAATGCACTTGACGCCCTGAAAGCACATGGGACCCAGTGACGCTGCCCAACTGTTGTCAAGAAGCTCAATAGTACAGTAACTCTCTTGAGTGAGAGACAACCTGAGCATTAAATGGGATTATTGCAGATCAACTGCTACAAATCCCATGTTCCTTTTTAAATAATCACATGTTTGATCAGCTAAGCAGCTTAGGTGACAATAATGTGGTATCTAAATGCAAACTTGGCAAGGTGTGAATCTGAAAGTGGCAGTAGTTTAATCTGCTACTGTATTTTAAGTGTACATAACATAGGATGAAGGCTACAAATTTACATAATAATCCTCACACGCTCTGTTAGCAAATAAATAACACAAAACTGATTTAAACCTCGATGCAACGCTCTTAAAAAGCATTAAATATTCAGGCAAATAGTCTATATAAATATATTAAAATATAAAAACATGTTTAAAGCAGAGAAACCAGTGAAATAACGGACCTCTGGAGACACACAAACAACCACACAAAAACAAACTTGACACAGCTGTATCAATAACGAGTAGTTTGACTTACTCCATCCTTGCAGAAAAAAAGGTAGAGCACTTGAGGTGCGTTGCTGAAGCAAGGCACGGTTTCTTCACGGGTCCGAAAACTTCACGAGTTCAAAGAGCCATCTTTTAGCTCGGAATATCCGCAAAAAAGGACGAGTTGTTGCTTTGTTGTGGTCGACCTGTAAACTGAGGAGCTGCTTAATTGTGAGAAAGCATCAGTTCATTCACACCTAGCAACCAACTGCGTCACCAGGCAGAGCGTGCTGCTGAGAGCAGATCCCTCCGCCCCCTCCCTCAGTTTGTCACCGAAGGACGTCCCACAAACTCCGCTGGCTGGGCTCCGTTCGAATGACAATTTTCCGTTCGTTACTGTTTCTTAATGCCTGTTTCAAAAGTAGAGCCTACATTTAATATAGTAGGTTGCGTGATGATTATTTGCAATGTATTAAAGTTTTGTTTTAATACAGCCACAACATGGTGGTGCTGCTTATACATTTGCGATTAGTTAAAAGAAAACATAACCGGAAAAAAGTAAAGTAGCCCTGAAACAAAACAGTACCGTGTGCAGTAGATAACGGTCCATGGAGAGCATTTTGGTCCCCCAGACTAGCTTAAAAACGTAAAAGATACGCGTTTAGTAAGAGGAGTAAGTAAGTAAGAGAACACATTTTGGCTCATAATTCTATGAAACGGGACTTTTCCAAGCGAAAGTGAAGTAACAAGTCAGACTCGTTGTATATTTCGTAACTCAGTGGTCATCTGAAAGTAATCACATTATGTAACGCGTTACACGTGGTCGTTTGTTTTACCTATAACCCGTTGTTGCTATAGAGACAACGGAGAAGTAGGGACAGTGACATTTGTTTCCTAGCTTGACAGTGTATACCGCTCCCTTATATTACTGAACATTAGCTGCTGATAGCCTTGCTTTACGTGACCACAACTCTCTCACACACCAGTACAGTTCAGAGACTTACTTTATGTACTTTATTTGGCATGGTATTGTTTTGATAGGGGTACTATTTAATTCACAACAGACTTTGTTTTTCAGTTAGAAGTCTGTTGCATCTCCGTTGCATCAGTGGTCTACGCTCAGAGCGATTGGCTGCTCCTGCTCAGACCGCCGCTCTGTCATTGGTTGGATTTGGCTACATGTGAAATTTGATTGGTCGGTGGTAGGCAAGGCAGAGCATCACTCGGTTGTAATCTTTTTTTCTGCACTGCAGACTGTGCACATGGTTCAGGTAAACAAACCGGGCGTGGATATGAGTGTTGCAGCTTTTAAAGCTGAGAAAAGCTTTTTGTGTAACAGTTTTACCAAACAGCTTGTGGTAATGAAGTCTGTCTGATTGATTATACAGTTGAGCAAACAAAATGACTGTGAATGTCATTTATTTATACACTTAAGATATAGAGTTTCTCTGAAGTCTATTCATAATACAAATATTATAACTTCTATATAATCTTCTACGTTGTCATCATAGGTATGCGGTCTAATTACTTTATTATATATATAGGATTTAATTTAAGAGGCTATGTTCCATTACACTGAATAACTGAATAATACAAGATATTCATCCTCTTATTATTCACTGTTATTATATTATAGGCTACTTTTGAGAGTCCTTATTTCCCAGGCTAATTTAGTGAGACAAAGCTGGCGGAAGCAAATTGATTTAGTGGTAATAACTGTCGATTTCAATTACGTGAGGATTATATCTTTGTTTTTCTCCATTCAGCAAATCCCAAAGCTGAGTGAATGTGCTTTTCTCCTGTTGCTATAGTAATAGCGGACACTGCCCCCTATTTTAGACTTGTTTTCTGGTTGCTGTTGCCATGGGATTTGCATCTCTCTCTCTCTCTTCCTCCCTCCCTCTTTTCCTGTCTCTCTTTTTGTCTTCCCTCTCCCCCTCCATACATTTTCCTTCCACCTCACCTATGTGTCTGCACCCCTCCTCGTTCCTCCATCTCATTTGCTGAGTTGCATCTCTGCGACAATATCATTTTGTCAAAACCAATAGGCTTATTTCCAGTTCTGCTGAATTTGCATATTGATGGGACAGTATAGTGTCTGGCCTCTAATAGATTTGTCCACTGAGCATGACTGCGTGTCGAGTGAAAGTCTGGGAACATCTTAATTAAATTGATTGCCCAAAATCACATTATCCAGAAGGGCTACATTGGAATTGTTTTAACACAAAGCGAAACCTGTCCTTTGAATGGACTTGCATGTAAATTGAAAGTAACGTTCTGGTATAGGACTGCGTTAATCCGAGTCATTCAGAGGGACAGCAGGAGCTATTCAGCAAAATGCCCACCGTGTGTTAACTATCATATGATCGGAGCTTTGAGAGATTTGTAGAAGGGCAACCTGATGCAATCTAGATAAATGTGGTTGTAATGGAGACCAGATTGAGATGTAGCTGGTGAAGTTGGAAGGTCTCCCAGGAAAACGCTGACTTCTCTATCCGTCTGGATTAATTGGTCCACTGAGGGTCGCCTGTTTGCGCTTCATGAGAGAAATCCAAGGTGCTGCTCATGACAGCAGTTCTTTATTCACCTGTTGTCTCTACTATTAGGTACCATTTTAGTTGTCATTATTTAGGTAATGATAATAATTGTGTTAAATATGCAGCAAAACACTCTCCTAATATTTAACGGGAAAGCTGTTCAACTTTACATTACCTCGTCTTCTGATTGTTTGATACATTTAATATAATGTTCTGCTGCGAGACAAGGCTGTCCATCAATTGATGCCCAAATAATCATTGTCTGAATGTTGTCTATGAGGCGGGAAGTCAGGAAAAAGTTGACGCTTGCATGCCAAGTGCACGTATGGCACGTTAGTGAGGGTTACACCATCATTTCATCATCATCTCTCTCAGAATTTATTGTCCTCAACTTTTGGCCCTCTTTGAACATACGATGAAAACATGGAATTCAGTTACGACTTGTGAATGGGAGCCTCTCGGGGGGGATTTGTGGATGTTTTTGTGTGTGTTCTGACTACAAATCGCTTCCATTTGTTTGGCACGAAAACCGTTAATCAAGTCTGCAGAAGAAGAAGTGACAAGCGTGATATCATTTTCATTCATGAATGGGATCTAGGCTATGTTCATTTGCATTCATATATGACAGATGTGAACCAGACAGTCACAGGTTTATGTTTATTTACTATTCCTCAAGGACTGTGCGGTAAATTAGAGGTGTTTGATGGAAAGGACTCCAGCGTCTGTTTCGTCCTCCTTTGGGATGTCACAGCTTTCAGGAGATCACTCCTAACTAGCTCTAACTCCTAAAGGCACCATGAGAACACACACAGCTCAGACTATACTGACCTGGCGTACAAAATTAAACATAATAATTTTAAATGTAACTTTAATTATGGCGGATCGATAGATTTTCACTTATTTTGGATGGAAAAAAAGTGTTATATGCAATTTCTAGGAGGAGAAAACGGCAGAACAGATGCTCGCTGTTCGTGCATCACTTGTGTTCTGCAAAATGTTAGCTCTTTAAGCAAACGGGTCCCAGATGTACCCTCAGTGTCATTCGCAGCACTCAGACTCCGTCACGCTGCCCAGCAGAACTTCTTAAACCCCCGAGGCTCAGCGTCTATCGCCTCTGAGCACAGCCGATATCCATGCAGACCATAATGTGCCTCCTGCTTCCTTAACTGTAACACTCACTTTGTTTTTAAATTGACTCTGAGCTTATAAAGTACGTTTAAAACAACTGGCTTTACTGTATCAACATGTAACTCTAAATCTAATTCAATACAGTCACCACATTTACTGAGGGTAAAGGTCAAGGCCCTAACAATGGTTCCCATAAAGATTATTTAACATACTTTAAAAAAAACATTAAGATACAATTAGGAGGTGTGTTTGTATTTTATTAGGGATTCACTTTGATATTGGCACGTCAGCAGCTTTAAAATTAAACACCAGCATCGGCTAGAAAGAAACATTTCCTCTGATATAACAGGCAGATATGTTACTTAAAAAAATGTAACCTAAGTTAAAGTCGTTTTGTTTAGTGGAAGTGTACATTTGAATCATTATTATTTATTTCTGTGTGTTAGTATAGACATAATACATTAAGTCCACTTCAGGAGAGACTTCATGTAATCTGCATGGGTGGAAAAATATGTGAGTTTATCGGTAAAGGCATTGTCAATCATCCAAAAGGAAAATATAATCATATCGGCAATAATCCAATATTGTATATCCCTTATCTTTCACAATTTTAACAACAATTTGTGATTTAAAGATTGGGTGAGTAGAAGTACAACTGAACCCATACAGTATGGTGCACGCTTATCAAACTGCTGGGATATTTCACTTTTATGGCTGCTAGTGAACAAGATAACAACATGAACATATCCCTCAGTGGGGTGCAGTTTCCAGTCTGTTTTTATTGTTTTGTCCTCATTAGGTCAGCGCTGGTGCTTCTGCTCATTCTCCCCTCTGGATATTTTTCACATATCATTGCTGTGCTTGCCATGAAATCCCAAAACATGTTTCTTTTGTAATTTAATGATTTGTACATGGTGTACCCTATTTGGAATTCACGACTGTCATTTAACGTTGACTTCAAAGAGCATGAGGATGATTTGTTCAAAGCGGTAAACATTAAGAGTGGAACTTCACTGCTGTATCAGATGCATTTAGGGAAAGCTTCTTTCATCTGCTCTGTCTTAGTGTGTGTGAGTGTGTGTATGTGCTCTGTCTGAGTGTGTGTGTGTGTGTGTGTGTGTGTGTGTGTGTGTGTGTGTGTGTGTGTGTGTGTGTGTGTGTGTGTGTGTGTGTGTGTGTGTGTGTGTGTGTGTGTGTGTGTGTGTGTGTGTGTGTGTGTGTGTGTGTGTGTGTGTGTGTTCGGGGGTTGGGCAGGATATTTTTCTCTTTAATCTCCTTAATTACTCTGATCCACATGCGGATATGAAAACTTACAAACGTCTGTGCTGACATTTTGTGAAAGTGTTTGACAGGTGATGCTCTCTTTAAAAAAAGATGTATCTGTTTCATCAGAGCTTGTTTTCAGACAAGGTTAATATCTCACATTAATATTGACTAAATCATGCGAGACCCGTGCTAATTCACAGCTTGGCTATCTTATGTATGCTCTAAAGGCCCGGTGGGGAAAGACCAGTCTGCGCGTGTGAAAGTGAAGGGAGATCACCCGTGGCTCATTAATATTTCACCAACAATAACGCTGGGTGTCACTCACGATCATCACCACGGTAATGAGCTCACACTGCCCTCCTAAAGATCTGTTTATAATTCAGCCGGGTGCGCCATATACTCAAAGATACTGAATGGCAAGATGTGTGGAAATCTCTCCCAAGGTCAGAGGAATGGAGTGAACGCTGTCAATGACAGATAAAGACCTTTAGTATCGGATGAAGTAGGAAGTCATTTTAATAAATATCACTAAACATAATAGAGGAAATGTAACTTTAACCCTTAAAGCGCTAAATCGAATTGATACCTGTCAGGGGAAAGGTGTGTTTTCATGATTACCTGCGTCTCTGTTAAATATTCCAGCTATAGTTATAATGAATTAATCACGCAGCAACAGCCATATATTATAATTACGCCGCACATACACCTCTCTGTCACACAGTTTAACCAAGAGCATTAGAAAAGAGTGAATATATTTCCATACGAGAACTTGTTTAGGGGCGGGAATTTCTTCTTCTCCATTTTTTTTATTATTTATTTCAAATTTCTCGATGTTGAATCATGCATGTTAAGTTGCATGTCATTTCACTTGGTGTTTTTGTATTTTGATGCGGTTAGTGTGAGGCGAGTCATATAGTTAATTACACGACCAGAAACACACACACATGGAGTATGATTTAAAAACTTCCTCAGACACTTTTGTGGATAATCAGAGTTAACGAGACAATTGACTCATTACACCACCTGACTGTTCTTGGGTAAATACAGAGGCTGCAGCTCTTAAAAGGAACCCCTCTTGTTTAAATGAAAGGCTCTCAGCTTATTAGGGCGGATGAGATTATTTAGAGAAGCCGGTAATTAACGACTTGTTTGTGAGAAACAGTCATTAAGGAAGCAGGAAGCCTTTGTAACAGATTGTCCTCAGTTTAACACATTTGTCAGAAACAAAGCAGCTCATCAGACCAACGAACCCACAGATTCATCATATAATTTTATTTATTTCATGTACATGGTAGTTTTACAAAATGATTATAGGACTATACATTTTAGTTTTATTTGGTGTCATATTTTGTAAAATACATGGTTGGATTAATGCTGTGTTAAATGCCTGAATAAAACAATATATATAGTTATATTAACATTTGTATTGTACAAATCTGACATAAACATTAAGTATTTGGCACCAAGTAATATTTTTTATTTGAATAAGTAACATATTATTTTTTTTAAATATTTGCTTCTAAAATATGTTATTTAAGATATTCTTTTTTCCACCTGAGAAAATGTAACAAACTCAAGAGAAAGGTGTATCAAATGTATCAAAAAGGCATCGGTTAGAGTGAAAACACTGCATGCAAACAGTGGATCGGCTTCAGAAGTGGAATCAGTTCATGCTTATATAAAGTGTTGCACTTTTTAACAATAGATTTTGGTAGGAAAATGTGATCTATTTCAGAGTTCCCTTCATTGACAGGCTGCACAAACTATCCCCTTCTAAAGCCACAGGAAGATATATATACAACTCCTAAATACTATCAAATGCACATCTGTCGTTAGTCAGCCCTCATTTGCTCAGAAGGCATCAGGCTTTTTATGATCTCGTCAAATGTCCTTTACTTTCACGCCACAGGTCTTCTTGTTTCCCGCCTCCTTTAAGGTGTCTGCGTCGCTCCCTTTTCCTCCGAATCTGTCCCTCAGCTCAGGAACTGCGTGTATCCCTCGGCGCCCGTCACTATGACATCCATCCAGATCCTCATGGCCTCCGGGGACGGGGCCACCATGTAGTACAGGCGGTCGTGGGTTTTAACGCAGAAGGTCAGAGACGGGTTGGGGCTCTGGAGGATCACAGGAAGAGGGGGAGACGTTTTAGACTCACCTGCACCTGTTGCATCTTTTTCCTCCGGGACGTTTGTTATAAACAGCGTTTTTTAACAGTTTAAAAAAGACGGTAACATCCTGCACCTTAACAATTCAATACTATACTATTAAGAATAAGAAAAACATCTACTTTATCCAGTCTAATATACATCTGTATATATTAAAATAGCACAACATTGAAAACAATCATATTTCTTTAATAACACAGACATCCATTTTGTCGTTTTAATTATATTTCTTACAATATTTTCAAAGTTAAAATAATTTGTGTGACTGTAAAAATTAAGTTTTATTTTTAAAATGACCTTTTAATACAAATCATATATATATATATAATAATACAACTAATAACAATCTTAATTAGACAAATAATAGTTGTAGTAATAATACAAAAAACTGTTAAAATTAGATGAATTATGGTAAAATATTTTAATTAAGCCCTTTAGATTTGATATGATATTGTTAATTGATACATTTAAAAAACAGTTAAACATCCACGCAAAACGGATGAAGGTCTGAATTATGCATAATGGAAAAAAGAGCGTGTTACCTTGGTGGCACTGCGCAGGTGATCATAATACACCTCTTCAATCGCCTGGAAGTAAATGAGTCCTTTCAGCTTGGTCTCATGCTTGTCTGAGAGGAGCAAAAGAAACATATTAAGAAACATTTCATTACGCCTCGTACTGATGCAAGACCTCTGACAGCCGAGTGTAATCGACCGGTGAGGATCGTTTTATATCTGTCTTTGGTCAAGTAAAAAAAAAGGCAGTTTGAAAACAAATACAACAGACCTGTAGGAGACAGGAGGTAAATGAGTAAAATGTATTTCATTTTACAAGATTCCATCGCAGGAAATGTGGCCTTTTCAATTACACTTCAGCTTTTCATCTCTGAAATAATCTGTAAAAACAATATATACATTTTAATTCAAATGTTGCAGGGGCTTCAATAGATATTTTTGTCAAACAGTGCAAAAATGAAAATAAATAAATTGTAATTATTTTATACGATGAGGCTTTTTCTATAATTATTAACTAAGGAAAAACAGATTTTCCTTTTATACACATTTTAACTAATTGCAGGTATATTTGGCACTTGTTTGTTGTGACTTTATTCAATTACCTTAAAGAGGAAATGTGTATTGCTTAATAACGATATTTTTCTTCTTGTTAGTTTCCTCATCAGAGCAGTTTGTAAGTAGGTGAAACAGAGGAACACTAAGTAAAAAAAATCCGACAAACATCTGTAACGCATTGAGGTGTTAACTCCTTTTCCCAGCAACACATAATCCATGAATAGGTATGAGCAGCAAGTAAAAGTTAATTAAAAGTGCAAGTCTATTTCAAGCTATGCCTGAAGTCTTTACCAACCCATTAATCTGACTTGTTTTCTACCGTCGTACTTTCCGGAGTGTTTTTTTGTTCCTGCCGGCGAGGTTCACAACTTGAGATCTTTTTGTAAAACTTAAAAGAAATGTCTCTCTCTTGTGAAGCAGATCTGTTGAACATTTCCCTTAAAGCAGGTCAAGCCTTCTTGTCCAGTCCTTTTCTTTATTCACAGAATATCTCTGAGCATTTGAAAGTCACTTCACACTGAAACCTGCGGAGGAAGCTCATCTAACACACTCTCTGGACTGATGGGTTTCTTTAGTTTGGGGCTAAACTGTAGGCTCTTCTCACGTCTCAATTTTCTTCAAATAAAATGAGTTCAAAGAATTTCCGGATTCCAACCTTGTTCAAATAAACACTATCATTTTTTATTTTTTTGCGCCTTCGTTGCACACTGGGGCGTCCGGCTGTAAAAAAACAAACGTCAAGCAGGAATTAAAAGCAGTCTTTTGAAATCTGTCAGACACTTTCTCTTGCTTTCCCCCTTTTACAAAAGTCAAATCTGCTTAGTAATGAGATAAATGTTTTTGAAATGTGAGTTTCGTTTTATTAGTCACGAACAAGCCAGAAGCTAGCCTCCTCCCCAAGAAAAACACATCTAGAGAAACTATTGCATCTTATTTCATCACCATCATCACCATCATCTTCGTCAGGAGTAAGGGGGTGAAAAGGCTATGCAAGTGAGGGGAGAGAGGGAGAGGAGCGAGGAGAACGGGGGGCGACAGTAATGAAAATATCCTCAGATTCTCTTTTTGTACTTGATTGTAAAATAATTTCCCCAAAACACACTCATGAATTATTCAGAAAACTAACTGTTCGCATTTTCAAATTCAGAGGACAGTGTGATAGATGGGAATTACAAACTGACTTTTAACACACAAGACCAAGGCGAAATCCCACTTAGTGCAGCTTTAATTAGTGTTTGGTTCCAGATGAACAAACGGCTGTCGGGACAGAAGTTTGGTTTTCATTGAAAAACAGAGCAAAGAGCGCCAGATAAGTTTACATTTGGCAGAAGAGCCCCGACGCTGCTTTCGGCTGAACTGAATAAATCAGATCCTGGCCTGCCGTACGGAAACTTTTCAACATGAAGATCTGAGTTATTATGGATACTAAATATGAGACGATTCTTATGTGAGCAAATTGGTTTGACCACTGCAATGGTTGTGTGAACAAGGCCTTAAAATGAGACTAATGGCGCATTTCCATTGCAGGGCCTCACAGGGCTTAGTACGGTATGGTTAGGCCTTGGTAGGCCAGGCTCACTTTATGCTGCGTTTCCATTACAGTTTAGTAGCTGGGGCTGTAACTATAGTAACGCAGTGTAGGCGGAGCCGTGGCGTCATCTTCAATGCGAACCACAAAAACAACATCAGCCGTTAGCTGTTAGCACTCAGAGCTCACAGCTCCTCATATCTGTTCAGAAACTAGACAAAAGTTAAACAAGTACAAACCACAGACTGCCTGTGTCATGGTGAATACAGTCGCTGGTTTATTTATGTCTGTATAGGCCGTTGTTGTGAGTGTGGACGGTCGGAGCATATACTGCGTTAGCTTAGCCAATCTCCATCTAGAAAACACGCATTTTAAAAGCTTTTTCGCCTGCCGTCTGTCTGCAGACTTGTCAAAGCATTAATTCATGGTTTTTACTAACCGGTATCAGTATGTTGTTACTTCGGCATCATTTTGAAACGTGTATTACAATTAAATCACGGTCAAATATGTTCATTTTGTTGTAGTTGTAGCCCCCTTGCCAGCGATTCTCTCACTAGTTTAGCATACTCAGCCCGGTTGTTGGCCCGGAAAGAACCACGATTTTGGAGGGCCAGAAAAAATGTGAAAAAGTACCCGTTAGCCGGAACTACCCCTAGTGGAAACGCAACAAAAAACGGGCCGGGTTTGGCACGGCACACTTGCTGTGCTACGCGCTGCAGTGGAAATGCGCCATTACATTGCAGAATTTAAACACAATAGGATCCTTTTATAGAGAATCTAAAGAAGTTCATATTAATGCGTCCGTCATCTTTTGAAGTTGATCTAGTATTTAGAAGAGGCTGTAGCGTTTAGGGACAAAGTCTTAAGAGAGGGAAGTGTTGTTTGCAAAGGCCGTTAAAACATTTTCTAGAGAACATTTTTAACATTATGTGTGTGTGATGACAGTCTCTTTGGTGTAGAAAAAACCTCGTATATCCAGATTTATGTGAGGAAATCATTTACAAACCTTTTTTTTGAACATCCTTACACATTGTATTTATCGATGCGACTGCAGTCATGGTTTGTTGGTTTTCGTTTTAACCGGACAAAACTACTGGCCAGTTTATGCGAAGTATTGAGCCATTGCATTTTTGGTGTACACACTATTTATCACTTATTGAAATGGCCTTGGCGAGGACTGTGCACCCCGAGTATCCTTCTTATTCTGAGGGATTTCATTTGCATTCTCATAATTACTTTTTAAAATAGTTTGACGAGGTGTATTTGTTGCGATATTTTTTATTTCCTGTGTATTGTCCATTTAAAGTACCAGGTGTGTTCAGTTATCTGCTTTTACTATTTCGCCCCTGATGAAGACCCTGTGATGTAGAATCGCTCAGTGTTTTAACCTATATACCGGACTGTGTGTGTGATGTTATCCCTTTTTTATCTTCAAGGGCACCTTAAGGTTCCCTCGACTTATTGTATGTGAAACTGATGAAGCACTTGGCCTGTTTTTCTTTCTACGTACAGTATATGCAAATGTTGAACTTTGGCTACTTATTTTTCCAGAACAAGTACCACCTGTATTTCTGCTTTAGTACCACCTGTATTTCCATAGAGAAAGGATAGGCTCTTTTTTAAGACTTCCAGAGTGAGGAAGGCTCAACAAACAAGAAACCAGTAATGATTAAACATTCCTTATTTCATGATAAACTTCATTATATCCTCACCCCCATAATAACAGAAGTTCCTCTTGACACGGTCAAAAACGAACCAGCGTTTCTTCCAAGATTTAATTTTGCCGCCCATCTTCACCAGGTGGCCCTTGCACATCTTCTCCGTGAGTATGACGTAGGGGCAGATGTCGACGCTGTGGCCCGACGACTCCACGTGCGCTCGCAGGTCAAACTCCTCCTTCCTGTTCGGCAGGTAGCGCGTCATTGGACGAGCCTGCGGAGGAAATATATAAGAGATAATGAGCAGTGAGTTGGTCAATAGTGTCATGGAACACTGACATGGTGATCAGGACAGCTGAGATTCAAGATTCAAAGGTTTAATTGTCATATGCACAAAGCTACCGTGTAGAAATGGCAATGCAATTCTGCTGACCTGAGCTCCTCCAACAATACAACATATATAATAAAATACAGAAATACAAAATAAAAAGTAGTGCAAAAAGGGATCTTGCATCTCGCTTTATCTTCTAACATCGTTCCTTCTCTCGTTCTCTTTTTCTTTACTTTGGACAGACAGACAGACAGACAGACGCTGAGCTGCACCGATCAGCACCGATCAGTTGATCCGGAGCATAGAGAGAGAGAGAGAGAGAGAGCTGCGGTCCGCGGGGACACGGACAATTTGCGAATGAGTTCTGCCTTGAATTGATCAATAATTTGTCAATAAATGAGGGCGAAAAACGTCCCTTGTCCATCGGACAAGTCAATGGAAAGATGTACTTGTCCGATATTGTAAATAACACGTCCCGGACGATCGGACGTGTTTTTTCGCACACTGGCCCTCCTCAAATATATATTTATATTTTCAAAACGATTCCATGGTTATTTCTGATTGATATGACTCCCTTGATCATCCTTAGCAACGGTGTAATAGTGCAAAATAAACAACCTCTGGAATGTCCAAATTGACCAATCAGAATCGAGTATTCGACTAAGACTTGCATTAATTCATATTGCTTGAATACTGCTGTCCAAGTGCTGTGAGGACAGTGTGTATACATCCATTCGGGGTATTTTTTGCCACTTTGGGGCGACAACTTGTAAACAATACTGGTTTTATTTGGTCTTTACCCTTTGGGAAACATTTGGATATTCAGCTTCCTAATTCTCCTCTGCAGGTAGCTGCCAACAGTTCCCTCCTGCTGTTCAGTGCTGAGCAGGTGGTGCTCAGAGGGCTTTTTAAGATAAACAGTAGGAGAAACAGCTGCCTGCCTAAACATGTTCGGGCTGAGGATTATACCATGTGGATAATGCTACTACCAGCGACCCCATTCACATTACATTACATTTTATGTATAATTCCAATATGTATCATAAGAAAAATAGGATTATAGTAACTTTATATAGCAGAACTAGGCGCCTTTGTACTTGTTGATTTGAGGATGTTTGTTTACTTAGCATTCATACAACAGGCAACTGATAATTAAACACACTTTGTAAAGATTAAAGCTTTAATGATGTGTACATTATATTATTTTGTGCACCCCCACCTTCCTCTCTGTTCTCCTCTTCCTCCTCCCTCCTATTCTTTTCCTTCCTGACAAACTTTGATCTTCCCGTATTCCCAGCCTCTCTTCAGTGTCTCGCCTCTCATCCTCTCCCCTAAGTCTCCTTTCCCCCTCCTCTCCCCTAAGTCTCCTCTCCCCCTCCTCTCCTCTAAGTCTCCTCACCCCCTCCTCTCCCCTAAGTCTCCTCTCTCCTCCTCCCCTCCTCCCTTGCTCCACTGACCTGTGAGAAGTGTTTCTCTCTCATCTTCACCTCCTCCTCCACCAGCCTCAGCCTGTGGGTGGTCTCGTCCTGCAGCCTCCTCTCGGCCTCCTCTCTCCTCCTCCGCTCCTCCTCCAACATCTGCCGCCGCGCCTGCACCTCCCTCTCCTGGGAGCGTGGGGAGAGAGGAACAGATGGGGAGGGGAGAAGAGAAAATAACAGGGGCAAAAGGGAGATGGGGAACATATGTAAATAGTAGGCAAATATTGCAAAACAAAGTGAGCGAGTGTCAGGGGAGGCGCAGGAGAATATATCCCTTAAGTTTGTATAAAAGAGTGAGCTTTGCTGATGTAAAATGATCCTTTGCTGCTTTCAGATACTTGCATGCTTTGTTTCAACATGTGGAATAATACAAAGGTAAACAAAGTACTTACAACACCACACCTCGAGCTGAGTTGTAACTGTGACAAACTCATGAAAGCAGGAGAAACTTGGGTCCCCTGCGATCATTTGAAGATATTGCTCATCAACTCTCAGGGGAATTGCTTTGTGTGGTTCTGATATGATCATAACATGTCATTCTTTCACCAAATCTGTAGTAAAAATTCACGATTCAAACACAAATATATCACACATAGAAGCAGCAAGTCTGAACTTGAAACACTTTTGGCATTTTTGCTTTAAATTTGATTAAATCAGGTTTAATAAGCTAAGGCTTTTACCTTTTCCAGTTTGCTTTGGATTGTCACTTTTTAAATAATTTTATTTTTAGTCATTGATGTATTTCATGGTTTTCTGTTCGTATTTTTTGGTGTTGAATGTGCTCGTTCATGTTCAAAAAGTATGTTTAAGTTGATTAACCATTTTAGTAATTGACGTTAACCCTTGGCGGAAGTGATGGGATAAACTGTTGTTGTCACTTCTTTAAAGGTAGGGTCGGTAAGAATGGAGAAACCAGCTCGAGTGCGCTAGAATTTGAAAGTACACAGCGTTCAGACTTCCTTATAGAGCCCCTCCTCCAACACACACGAACGCGCACATGACCAATGAGGGCACGAGATAAGTTTGTGCACAGATGGAAGGCTGACAGGCAGGTAGGCCATCCAGTTATTTTAGCCGGGCCGGCTCAGATGATTGGTCGTGCTTTTTACAGCGCCACGGCTTCCACAGATGACATTTTTTTATGGATTTATTGTCAAAGCATTTAATGTATTCATTGCTATCGGGATGTTAAGAGCATTCCATGGAATATAACAAAAAGTGTTTCTGAGGTGAATTACCTACCCCACCTTTAAGATACAATTATTTCTCTCATTGATGTATTTCATGGTTTTCTGTTCGTATTTTTTGGTGTAGAGTGTGCTCGTTCATGTTCAAAAAGTATATTTATATTGATTAACCATTTGAGTAATTGACCTTAATCCCTGGAGGAAGTGATAACTGAGGTTAAACTGTGGCTCTGACACTCACTCGGTTCTCCATCAGTCGGGCTTTCTCCTGCTGTGCCTCCTTCAGCATCTTCTCCATCTCCTCTATCCTCTGGGCCTCCATCCCACAGGCACTGAAACACAGAGGGTCTGATGACACGTCTGCAACAAGTCTCAGGATGAAACAAAGTAAACAGACGCGCCTGGAAACCAAACACTGACAGCAGCGGGAGACAAAGGTTTCTCTCTAACGAGGCTTTGAACTCGTAGCTTCATCAAACACTGGGAAAAACTTGAAGAGGTTGGCATGGCAACAGCCGTCGTACTGCTGGTAGACAGGGGGAGCAGACGTGTAACAAAACATGTTGTCACGGGAACAAAGCGCAGTGACCCTTCTCCTGGGAGACGGGGCAGACTTGAGTGTTCCCATGGAAACAGAGCCAGTTCTCTCACCTTTCTGGGGTACAGGCGGAGTTGCCGGTGGAGACGCTGGTCTCCATGCTGTCGGAGCTCTCCAGGCTCAGAGTGTCGTACGCCTGGCTGCCGCTGGGGGGCGCCTGGTGGTGCAGGATGGAGTGATGCATTGTGGGAGATATATCTGTGGAGAGGAGACAGGCGTCACAGACTTACAGTGCCCTCTGCTGACAGAGACACGTCACTGCTACCAGAGAGTGTTATGAGACTCTTTATTAGGTCGTATTGGGACTTAAACCTGGATTCATTGTGTTTTTCTAGATGCAAACCAATCAATACATGGGGTTACAAATTAAATAAGTGAGGCAGTACAAGGCCTGCGATACAGTCTTATGTATTTGTTATTATTTCACATGATAGGCTCAGAGTAAATTGCTTTTGTTTGCGTAAACTAGAGGGGAATAACTAACACCAGTGTGATTTTGGTGAGATTATAACCATCCTGGCCAAAGTTACAGAGGGGTTGCCAAATCCGGCAGCCATAAACCTAGCTCTTGCAGATTTAGAAAGTTAACAGTGAGTCTTGCAACCTTATTATTTAGATTCATACCTAGATTAATAGATTAATTGTGTATTAACAAACTCCTGTGGGAAATATCTGGCTTTTTAGCTGCTTAATGCTCCTCTCCTCTCTTGGTGCTGAGCAGGCGGTGTACAGAGAGCATTTAACGCTTATGAGAAAAACAACTGCCAACTCAGCAACACCAAAATAAAAATCTAAAAGACACTTCAATGCCACTATACCAGAGACCCTTAAGTGTGCTAAATAGATGAGATGGGACTCCATACCTTTGTTCTGCAGCACCATCTGCCTCCTAGACTCCATGTCTAAGGGGTTCGACAGCATTAACTGCAGCCCCTGAAAAACACATAGAGAGCATCAAGCACATTTAACTACTTGGAGACTTCAAAAAACGTGTTAAAGTGATGAGCTCACCTTGGCTTTCTCATTAGCACCACTGGAGTGTGGCAGGGTGCCCGATGCTGCCTGTCCAACCTCAGCATCTGATCTGGACCTCAATAACTGAGAGGAGGAGGAGGACAGGTCTGTTTATTATGTTTGTTACATTTGAGTAGGAAGTGGATATGCTATTGCCCCACTTAGGAACACACACAAAATCCCCTTCTTTTCTACTTACTTGTCCTGGAAAGTGGAAGATTCTTTCAAAAAATAACAAAACTGATTTTGGATTAGATTGATTTTTGAGATACCTTACTTGAGTATTTTAATTTTCTGGTACTTCATTCTCCTTTGTTCTGCTTCCACTGAGCCAAGCAGTGACTATTAGTGTCATTATGTGTCTATTGAAGTACTGTGATTTAGGAAAGCTCTTTACCAAAGCATGTTTGTACCGCCAACAGAAGGACATACAACTTGCGTCATGTAACAATGTTGGGTAGTAAGACATGGTTACATGGTGTGTTTTCTTTAGAGGAAGTTCAAAATGCTTTACCTTATGCCTGCAGGATCAAGTACCAATTAGAAGATTAGACTAATACAGTGGTGGTGATGTTACTTAAGTAATTTTTGTTGAGGTACTTTACTTGAGTATTTCCATTTTATGCTACATGTATACTTCTACTCCACTGCCTTTAGGAGGCAAATATCTTACTTTCACTCCATTATATTTATTTAACAAATAAAAACACATGATATATGCTGATATGATATATAAATCAGTGGTGTTAAACAAATAAACACAGTACTTGAAAAATAACCTAAAACTGGCTCCCATTGACAAAAAGGCTAAAATGCTCTTACATGTTTTTTTGGTGATAAAACAATAGTATAACATAACCTTGAATAATATACTATTGTGAAAAGAGCCATTCTGCATTTTGAATACTTTTGATACTTTAAGTCCATTTAGCTGATAATAATAATTTGCTTCTATTTAGGTAACATTTTGATTTTGGAGTATTTAAGACCATAGTATTTCTACTTTTACTTAAAGGGGACCTATCATGCAAAATGCACTTTTGTACGTCTTGTATACATGAATATGTGTCCCCGGTGTTCCAGGGAACTCACCAAGTGTCAGAAAACACAACCCTCTCTATTTTCCTCCATACCCAAATCTCTAAAAAAGGGGCTGCAACGGATCTGATAAAAACTGATCCAGATTTGAACACTGTCCTGACGTCAGGACGGTGGCGCTACGGCTATTGGGCCAACTCCACCGATCAGGAGGAGACAGCCACGGCCATTGCCGTTCGAAAGCGCTGGAGACGCTATAGTACATATGCCAGGCCTGTAGGTGGTGCTGTTCTCACAGAATCAGCCCTTGCAAAAACAGAGCTAGAAATGGTCAAATTGAGCGAAATGAGGCATGGCTAAAATGCATGATCTGTTTGGTATTTTGAAAAAAAAAAAGTATAAATATGCCTTATATAGGTATGGTCCTACACTATATTATTCAAATATAGCATGATAGGTCCACTTTAATAAAAGGATCGGAGTACCTGTAGGATCTGAGTTCCTAAATAACTACATAAAAATAACCTTGTCCTGTTTTGTCCACTAGAGGGCCTTAAAGCCATAACAAATGGAGAGTGAGTGTGAGGATCTGGGGTTCAAGAAAGTGTGTAAGCATCTGGCCCGCTGAAAAAGAGTGGAGAGTTTACCTGACTGTGTCTGCGTGCAGAAAAAGACTTTGCAGGCAGTGGTGGAGGACATGGCCGAGGCTCTCCAGCAGCCATGATGTCCTGGTACCAGCGCTCCAGGTTAATAGGAGCCATTGTGTTCCTGCTCAGCTCAGGATGGCTCTGAGGTGACGGAAAAGCATTCAGCCAGAGAGAGGAGAGGGAAGCAGCACAGCAGCGACAGAAGCATCAAGCAGGTAGGAAAGATAAACAGAAAACAGGCCTCGCAGAGATAGAAATGTTGAGTGGAAAAACTAAGACGGGAACAAACCTGGGCAGAGAGAAAGGAGGAAGGACCACATGCTGTTGAGTGGCATGAGAAGGTGGATTCAGAGGAGGCGAGTTGGAATGATGGAATAGAGGAAGAAGAGGTGGGATCGAGTCTCTGCATCCCAAAGATCTGGCTTAACTGACTGACTGTGATGTACTCCTTCACACAGGAACGAGATACACACACATACATTTACAAAAGAGGGAGACAAATAGAAGACCATTAGGAAGCTGATCTCTGAGAAGGACGTCTTGAGATGTTGCTGGTTAGAGAACCATTTGGCAGAATGCAGGCAGGGTGTCTACCTCACATGGCAGAGCTGGAGCTACAGCCAGGGAGAGGCAGTGGAGAGCAGCGGGGGAAGAAGGTTGCATAGAAGCGCTTCCATACATCTTAAAGACATCAGACAGCCTGAGGTACTCCTGCAGCGACAGCCAGAACACAACTTTAAGAGGGTGGAAAAAGTCAACTCTATGATAAGTCATGCAGAGATGCACAAGCAAACATGTTGGGAGTGGTGCACTACGTGGAAATAAACTAGTTTAACTACATTTTGCAGTATATGCTGTTAGTTTAACTGGATTGCATTTTTTGTAGTTTAATTACTTTCCTTTTATGTTTTTTGTTCACTACTAATCATTCCAGACAAACAATTTGGGCCATAAAATATAGAAATTTGTATTTATTATTTTACTTTTACCTATCTCCTTCAATGCATTTGTCAAATCTTACAAATAACTCTGGAACGAACGTATGCCCCTTTATTGAAATATGTGACCTAAGTAGCTTAGGTTAACAAAAGTAGATTTCTTCCTAGGGTAGGTTGGATGCAGTTCGACTTCTTCCAGTTTTAAATAGTTGGTAGTATGCAAAGCTTTCAAAGTAGCTTCCCCTACACTGTGTACTATATTGTATATACCCATAATCACAACCCACGGGGTCCCTGTCTTTGAAATGATTATAGATGGCGCTGAGTTATATGATCCAAGTTTTTTCTTTATCATCTAACGCTGTAATAGATAGTACTGTATAACCCTACAATTTGGACATTATACCAACCTTTAACATAATATATAGATAGGCAGAAGCTTGACCTACCATCATACACACTGCAAGCGTACTGTTGTGTTTCAGTAATTGCTAACACACCGTCATGCCCAGTCTCTATCGCAGCACAGGCGTTTATTAGGTTTGTTACTAAGAAGCTTTTGTAGAGATTTACCTCTTGTAGCCTAACGGGGTAGAGTTCAGGGTAGGGGATGTGAGAGGAAGAGGCAGAGGAGGGACAGGGGCTATGAGGAGGACCGTCCACATTAGCAAGGTCTGGTTCGCTGATGTGGAGAAATTCCTGTTTAAAAAGGTCGTCTAAGTAAAAAAGATCCACTTGGAAGATGTTTTTTTCTAAATGAGGGTTGTGTTATATGATCTCTTCCTGCTCACCTCTGCCATGCTGCTTTTAGGCTTTGGGAAGTTTCTTCCTCCCGTTAAGGTGTGGTACTTCTTCTCCAGGGCGCACAACCTGTCCTGCTCCTAAAAGGCAAAACCAGTATGGACACAGAGGGGCTTTCAAAGCTGACCATGCTTCACTTTTATGGATTAAATACAGGCTGTTTGTGAGGCTGTTGAGGTTGGATGTTTTTAGGGTGTAGGACCCACCTTGTGTAGCAGCTGCAGAGTCACTATCCTGTCTTTAGCCATTCTGTCACAGTCTTGAGACGCCTGCACTCCCATCTGTTTCACCTGAGCTTCCATAGCGGCCATTTTCTCCTGAAAATCAACCCGTTTCTTGATGTCACGTTGGTGAGATATTTTACACATTTTTCGGTAACCCTTGCTATGACGGATATGTCTATAATGCCCTATTAATATACTAATATGTGTTAAATAGTTCTCTATAACACTTTGTAATGGATTAAAATATTTTACAATGACTTATAAAGTATCGTAACTGGTGTTTTTTGTTGTTGCAAGGAACACAGTGTATTATCATTCCTATAGTTAAATGCATTATTTTTTATAGTGAACTTATAATTGATGAAGTGCTCATAACTTTAATCACATGTGCTTTAAGCAGATTACAATCTATTTTAAGTATGCTTTAATGTATTTCATGTCTATAAAGCCCTATTAATATACTAATATGTGTTAAATAATTTTCTATAGTACTTTGCAATTGAAATAAATATTGTATAATGACCTGTAATGTCAAGTATCGTAACTGGTGGGGGTTTTCTTTTGCAAGGAACACAGTGTATTATAATTTTTATAGTGATCTTATAATTTAGGAGTGCTTATAACTTTAATTACACAGTGCTTTAAGCAGATTACAATGCATTATAGGTATGTGTTTAATGTATTTCATGCGTCACAGAGAGGGTTTGACAGATTCTTCTTGTGAAATGTCCCCCTACCTTCCTCTTGGCCACGCTGCGGTGATACTCGGCTCGCTCTTGGAGAAGCTGTGAGTTCTTCGTGTCTTTCTTCTCCTCCAAACTGCTCTCCTCCTCCAGCTGGCAGAACTCCAGCTCCTCAAACTGCTTGGTCCCAGACTCCAGAGCCTCTGCTTTCTGTCCACATGCAGATGTACATGCAGGTTATTTATCAAAGGATGAGCGTGGGTATATTCCATATGTTTATTATTCTTAACAAAAGCCCATGAAAAGCCCAAAACCAACAATGATCAACACGTATTGTCTGTGTATATTAAGCTTCATATCTGCCTTACTTATGATGCACACAGCACTGCTGCATGTATTCATCCACAGTAGAAAACAGTCCCCAATCAAAAGCACTGTTAACTCCTCTTTGATTAACTTTTGGTCATACAAAAATAATAATAATAATAATAATATAAGTCCCTCCCTCAGCCTTTTTCTAAAAATCAAACCACATTTTTGACCCATTATCGAAGATTTACGACTTCAGTATTGTAAATCTTTGATGGAGCGTTACAGAGAGCCTTAAAAATGGTCGTAAAGTATTGAGAGACAGACTTACACATTCTTTTCGTTTGGGGTTTTCATGGGATTTGTTCACAACAAGAAGAATAAACATAAACACCACCATATCCTTAAATGTCTGCTAGGAAATAACCAGAATTTGATACCATGTGAATGTTGTGTGGTTTGAATAACTCATTATAAAGGGCATGCACACTTTTAGAGCAAAGCTGTTAATAACATTATTAATGATTACTGATTGCATTTGACATTTCAAGCATCCAGAATGAGGGAACAGCAGAGATAAAGCCACAGTCTTAAAAGCATTGCTTACTGTGTCGCTACACTTTGTGTGATTATAAATCATGAGTGGCAACAGCAGAAAAAGAGGAAATGCACAGACTGCAGATTTAACGCAGCGTCCACACGGCAGCGTGCGTTGAAGCTTGCCGGCGGGCGTGTCTGAAGCTCGACCAACAACCAATCACATGAATCTCCCGCCCCGGACACACAAGCACGCGGTTTGATTGGCTAGAGCTTGTACTGGCATATGATTTGATTGGCTGAGGCTTCCGTCGAAGCTTGAAAAGTTGAACTTTTCTCAACTTTTGAAGCGAGCAACGGAGGCAAAACGAAGCGACGGAACCACAATGCAGTTCGGCAAAGCGTGACGTCACCCCATTCAAAGTGAATGGGAAGCTGGGTTGAAGCTTCAACGCACGCCGCCGTGTGGACGGGCCGTAAGAGTATCTCCGAATGCTTCAAAACAGAGTCAGTGTTTTGTCTGCAGACGATTCTGTGCAGATCTTCCAGAACTGGTATATTATAACTCACTGTTGCCAGACAGTGGGCTGCGTGAGAACACTGACCCTGCTGAGCTGCTCCTGTAACTGTTCCCTTAGAGACAAGGGGCACTTATCAATCTGCCTCTTCAGCTCATTGTACTCATTCCTCTGCTTTTCCAGGGCCTTCCTCTCAGCCGACACATTAGCCCTCCCCTAAAAACACATAGAAACACACACATACGCAACAGTTGGGTCCACATTCACGCACAACCCCAAGTAGAAACAAAAAAAGATCACACACAACTCAAATCTTTGCAGCCAAGCTTTAAAGATAACGCAGTTAAAGTATTAGAGGATTGAAGCAGAGGTTAGGTTGGCAGGTGTTATAGGGATCACAATGCCTCACACATTTGTTAAAGAGGACATATTATGCTCATTTTCAAACTGGAGGGAAATGAAAAGGTGTATGCACATCTAATACAGCATTTGAGTCTTGGGCATATCCAGCCTGATGCATGGAAACACAAGAAATGCCCCACCTCCCGAGATAGGACAGTTTTGTGTTGTAAGCAGTGCATGTCAGTTTATATCTGAGGCACATATCTAGCCTGTTTGCACATACAGGAACGAGTGAGTTCTTAAAAAGTCAAACACAGATGTTCAAGAACATTCACGTGCAAACCGTACGTAAAAGGCAGACAGCTCGGAGCAGTCTGACAGTATTTATTTTGTCACATAGTTTAGTCCTGAGTGCCCACCTTGTCCTTTTCCTTCTGGGTGGCCTTGTCCAGCTGGCTGAGCTTGAGCTGCAGCTGAGAGATGATTTCATTTTCAGCCTCCACCTGCTCATGCTCGGCCCGCTTCTCCGCCTGCAGCAGGGCTTGCTCCATCTCCACCTAGAGACAGATGTGGAGTCAGAGTCTGAAAACAACAATCGTGTCGAGCTGAATAAATACTTCCAGGTGAAATGGATTCCAGTCCTCTCACTATCAGGGTTGATCTTACAGTGTACAAGCTAACATGTGTGTATGTGATTATGTTGACCTCCTGTTTGGTCTCTTGTAGCTGCAGCTCCAGTTCAGTGACTCTGTGCTTCAAGTCATCAACTCTGGCCAGGATCCTGCTCCTCTCCTCCTCCAGGTACACGTGCTCCTGACCAGCGAACAGATCTTCACACTGAGGGCACATTTAAAAGAAACATGTTTCTATAAGATGTCTAATCTTTGGGAGAGTATGTGGGCCATAAGAAGAAAAAGGACAGGATTTGGTAATTATTTTACAGTTTTAGTAAAAATGTCCAAAATAAAGTTGACATACTGTTTCAAAATGTTGTAAATAAATCAAACTACCAGCGTTAGTACATACACAAAGCTTGACGTCATCTCAACATTTTCACTTTACTCTTGAAATGCAGAATATTATTTAGTGGGAATGCTGATACAGCATTCCCACTATCTGTTATGCTACGCACGAAATTCTTTATTATTCCGCCGGGTTATTTTGCACCTCTTCTTCTCCCGCATTCCACATCGCAGAAACTCCGTTCAAACATCAAAACGTTCAGCTCGGTCGGGAATCGATGGCTATTACTTTTCTTATTCATAACTTTCATAATTCCAGAGATACATCCCATAATTCATCAAATTGTTAACATGGAAGTCAATGGAGAAACTCTTCAGACTTGAACAATCTTCATGCAACTTCAACTGCAAACTGCTCCTTCATACTTTCACTCAGAAACCTCATTCCAACTTTAAAATGTTACACATCTTTCTGACATTATTCGTGTAACACAACCTTTAAATCTGATTCATACTTTTAGAGATATTAAACATTGTTCAGACCTTGGTAAAGAGGCCTTCTTCAGATTTAGAGTGCGTGATGTCACAGCTAGAGTGGAGAGATTTCATTTTGCCTTCATATTTTCTTTTAAACCTGCCATAATTCCCAAATTTCCCATTCCCATTTTTCATGAGAAACGTAGGAAAACATCTCGTAGCTTGAAAAATTTAAAAATATTAAGCAAAATAATTAAACAAAATGCCTCTTGAGGGCATGAAGTGACAAAAACGTTCAACATGTCTCCATTAAACCCCATTGTAAGTTCAGCCTCATCTTTCCCCACCACAGCAGCCGCACACCTTTAGTTAATCTGCCAAAAAGGCCACATTATTAACCCGAAAGTACACAAAAAGTACACTTCAGATGCTCAAGTTCCTTGACATGCTTCACGCTTTGAAATTTCACCGATATCTGTTACGGTTCTTCAACAAAACGTTCACATGTAAGAGGTTTATCTCTCATTCAGAACAATGAAAATGCTCTCAAAGGTTTCCATCACCATGGAAACCATTGATCTCTGGACATGTCGTTAGCTCAAATATAAACACCTGTGTCATGGAACACGATGATGTCATAACTGACATGCTCAGAGCAGCAGATTTCAGATAATGGTTAATGGTCCGGCCCTCAACAGCTCTACGTCAATTATGGGGTGTCATCATATGCCGTTTCCATGGAAACGCATCCCTCGCCATAAAACACGATGTCGCTGTAACTCCAATGGACACGGTCCGATCGTCCCCCAAACTTCGCTTGTATATCACCGGTCCATGCCTCAACAGCTCTACGCCAAATCTGAGATATCACCATAAGCTGTTGCCATGGAAACGCGTCCCTCGCCGTAAAACACGATGTTGTCGTGATACCTATGCAAATGGTCTAAAACAGCACCAGACTTCAGATAATGGTTAATGGTCCGGCCCTCAACAGCTCTATGTCAATTATGGGGTGTCATCATATGCCGTTTCCATGGAAACGCATCCCTCGCCATGAAACACGATGTCGCTGTAACTCCAATGGACACGGTCCGATCGTCCCCAAACTTTTCCAAGCCTTTTTACTTTCTTTTCTTCTCTTATCACACATTCAAGCTCCCAGTGTTCATGTATCATTTCAATCTAAATTCTTCACTTTCTTCTTACACATTACATTTCAGCATAGCAATTCAGCGTCAGCATTTCAGCATAAAGCATTCCCACTAGCAATTTCTTCAGGAATTGCATTCTCTAGTTTAATTTGTTTCCCTTACACCTGGCCCTAAAAAACTTCTGTACTAATCAGACCGACACATACAAAATAAATCTAAAGCATGCCTTCACATATATATATAAATATAAATTTTAAAAAACGAAGCACTTGTTGAGTTAATTTAGTCCTTTTAACTGATTCACCAGCACTTACTATGGTATGATCTTGCTTGAATATATCTGCACTTTCCTTGTTGTTCAAAGTTTGATTCTTTATGGTTTTTGCACTTATTGTAAGTCGCTTTGGATAAAAGCGTCAGCTAAATGATGTGTAATATGTAATAATAATAATAATAATAATTGATCAGTTCATTACCTCTTGATGTGTGCTCTCTGTGCTGCTGGACTCCTCTCTCTGGGTTTCCTCATCGTTCTCCCTCACCCTCTGGGGTCTGTCTACTTCCTGAAGGGTCAGCCCCCCTGCTGTGTTGGAGGGTCCTCTAGCGCCCCCCAGCAGCCCACTCCTCACCACCTCTGCCAGCTCCGCAGCACTGTCCTCGTAGTTATAGTCTGCACACAGATGGAGAATGGTCTCCAGCCTCTGTCGCTCCTGCAGAAGAGATGGGAGACATAAGCGGGGCCTGTCCTACTTTATAGATCAAATTGCAGATTCGCTGCAAGTGTCCTTGTGTGACATTGTTCCATTTAGGCAGCTGTCCCTCGGCCACTGGCACGGGACAACTGTAACCTGATAGCAGGAGGGCCAACGTAGTTTGTCGCTCAGGAGGGGGTTCATAGTAAAACTTATCAAGGCAGTTTATGAGATCAAAATCTGACTGTAGTCATTTTAAAGAACGATGATTGTAAGACACTGCTGACTTTGGTTGTTTTCTGATCAGACATGCTTTAAATGTTACCCTGTAAAAGAATATAGTTCTTTATTGTGTTTTGTATTTGTTTCAGTCCACACCCACTACCAAAACTAGAGCCACATGGTTCTAGTTGTGGCTGGTCTGTTGTTTCCCATCACTCCGAACAATGGGATGCTTGCTTTTATCTACCAAAATAAGAGAGCAGTGTGTGAAACAATAATTAGAATAAAGACTGGGAACTTTTGTGCCTGATGTGTGGTATCGTCCCATTATCCTATGTCCACAACCACAAGCCCACTTTTGTCTGGTATTTAAATTAGTCAGACTAAATCAAAATTGCAGCAACAGAATTGCATTCAACAGAAAGATCTCATGTAACTCTTTGCAAGTAAGTGTATTTCGGGCTTTTAATTAAAATGTTTAAATCCTTTGCTTTTACATGGATTTGCAGGTCAGTTGAAGGAGCAAAAAAAGTGTAACGCTGAAATTAACATCTCTCATTATTAGTGAAAAGTTGCAGTTTTTTCCAATTGAAATATTTGTTCTTAGTGTTCACCATATACATCTATTCTACAACAATGTACATTTTCCCTCTGTGGGACTAATAAAGGTATTCTGATTCTCAATTAACAAAAACCATCTTAGTGATAGAAATATTTGAAGTCTGTTTCCCCTCATCTCACCTCTCTAGCTAGCCTATGCCCTTTACTTTTGCTGCTGCTGTATGGTCCGTTTTGTATTTTTAAAGAGCAAAAATAAGTAGCTAGGGTTCAGTAAAGTGACATTACTGTGCTGAGAGAGCCGGGTGCCAAAAGTAGTCCATTCATTTCACTGAGAGGAAATCCTCTCTTTGTCTCTCTCATCTATAGGTGTAGGCTATAGCTAGCGCCAAGGAAGCTAATGTATTAATACATTGCATCTCATGTTTTAATCCTAAATCAAAATGTTGCACTTCATAGTATCTGTCTTAATATTTATCATCTTTGTATTTGTACAGATTTAAAATAAAATGACATCACATAAGTGGTGCTAACTAGCAGAGCCAGGCTAGCTGTTTGCTTTTGCTAAGCTAAGCTAACCGTCTCCTGACTCTAGCTTCAAACTTAATGGACTGAGAGAGTGCTATCAATCTTCTCATTTAACTTCTGGCAAGAAAGTGTAACCTACCTCACCACCATGTCAAACAATTCCTTTAATTGGAGCCTGGATATCATTCATTTTGAAGCTAGACAAACCTGAACATTATCCCTTGGTACGTGGATGAGGTCATTTTCAGTTTAATGTGACATTCGGGAACTTTTGTTCACACATCGGTTAGCCTATTTACATTATTGTGTATTGTGTCATTTGTGTACACAAGTATTAATTTACCATAAAAACAGATTAAGACTTAAAATCATTATACCATATTTGTCAATTAGCTACATAGCCAACACAGTCTCACGGCATTTCGTGTTATAGTCACGAAATTAATCTATTGATTCGTGTTCACCAACACGATTTCGCCATTTTTTTCGTGTCACACAGAACGATTTTAAAAGCAATGTAAATAATAACAAATTTGAAGGAAAAAGACATTAAAAAAAATACAGATTTAAGTATTCTGACACAGAACGATTTTAGAAGCAATGTATTTATATTGGTAGTATGTTTCGTGCCTGCACCAAATAATAACAAATTAGAAGGAAAAGAAGATGACATAAAATACAGATTTCAGTATTCTGAGGCTCTGAGCCATTTCTTTTCCTCACTGACGGCAAAAAAACTCAGACATTATACAATTTAAAATAAAAGGGATAGGGTTAGGCTTAGGGTAAGATATTGAGTAAGAACATGTTTTTATAAACCACACAGCTTCTGGTCTTCCAAGACCCAACCGGACAAAAAGACGTGTTGCAGGCACGAAACATACTACCAATAGAAATACATTGCATTTAAAATCGTTCTGTGTGACACGAAAAAAAGGTGAAAATCGTGTTGGTGAACACGAATCAATAGATTAAATTAATTTCGTGACTAATAACATGAAATGCCGTGAGACTGGGTTGACATAGCACATCACAGCCAATAGCCAGGAATCACTGAAAACCTGGAAACCTGAACCAACATCTCAAATGTTCAGCTTACAGCTACAAATCTGTACAGTATAGTTTTTTCTACCCAGCTTAATTATTAGGGTCTTGGTTTGACAAAATAGGACATGTTTTAAACTTGAACTACCACATGAATCCAGGATAATATCAACGCATGCAAAATGAAAATCATGTAATGGGGGAAATTCTAATGGTGGATAAAACACATCGCCCCACCATTAGGCCAATAAGAATCAGTGATTTATCTGTAAATGTACTTGGTAATGCCTTACATTATCTACTGACTGAACACAAATGTGCACAAACTGTATCCACAGCATTGAAACCTCTGTCGGTCCAACTCAGATGCACGTTGTCGGTAACTCTCTTATTTGTTACCAGAAACCTTTTGGTTCCTGAAATAGTCTGTGGAGGGCTGGGAACCCCCACCCCCTGTGGTCGCTTCAGCTGTCAGACGCAGGCAGGGGTGGGGGCTGAAGAATGGGGATGGGGGGGTAGTGGGTGTGGACTGAGGATGGATAACAAGTATGCAGTCTATGAGCTAGCGTGGGTTCAGATAATAAAAAGCTTTCAGTCAAGCATGGGCAGCTTTGAAAGTAAAAGCCGCTCGCCCTCTTGATAAATATAGTGTTGATTAATAAGCAGCTGGCCCTTGGCTCTGGACCTTAAGACATGTGGAGGAATGTTCACCCCGTGTTCATCGGGGTACATGGGCTGAACATGCCCGAAATGCTCTGGGGAGATGAGCAAGTGGCCGTACGCCAGGAGATTTAAACAAGATATCTGAATGCAGACATGGTGTCTGCCATGCCAGCATTCTCACCACCTTCACTTAACTGTCACATGTTTGTGACTCCGTATATGCTGGTTAAAATAATGTTTTTTGCTAACATTTTGTATACCCTGATACAGCTGTGGCTTTGTAACCGTCAACTTGTTATGGTGTTAAATTGACGAAAATAAGTTATAGCAGAATAAGGTATGTACAAATTCCACTCATTAACAGGAAATAGCATAAGCAACAGTCATTAAGAAAAAACCTTTAAAAGAAAATTGATACTTTTTGAATTCCTGAGCCAAGTTTACACCTATATTTAAACTAAACCTGTCATAGTAAAATTGTTTTCTACTGTAAAGTAATATCTAAAGTGCTGATCACTTACCTGTTTCTCCATTTCCTGCTCACGCATCCTCTCCTCTCTCTGCCATCGGTGGTATTCCAGCAACTCGTCCTCATTGTCACTTATCTCAGAGATGCTGTTTTTGCGTTCCCGGGTATATGGTTTCATGAGACTCTGCTCCCTCATAGTCATGCAGGAAGTCTTTCTTTGGCTACGAGGGCTAGCGAGAGGAGATCCCGACAGAGAACCCAGGCCTGACGCGATGGCACTTCCCGGGCCGGACCTTAACTGTTTTCCTCCCGGCTCCTTCTCCAGCCCAGAGAGAGACATTGGACCCTGGGCATACATGGCCCGCATGGCTTCTGCTTTCGAATTAGATGCGAGTTTGAGGTGGCCCTGTGATGCAAGGGTTGAAGTGGAGCCCTGTGATCCTTGAGTACCCCTATGGGACATATAAGGACTGAGAGGAGGAAGTTCTCTCAAGCTGTTGGAACCAATCGGCTCCGGGGTCCTCAACCTCTGAGGGACTTCCACATTAGAGAGGTGTTGATCTCGCCTAGGACTGGGGGATCTCTTCTGTAGGGAGGAGCCTCGCACTCGAGGGCTGGATGGAGCTGTTGAGGAAAGCTTTATGGGGGATGGTTTGTGGCTATAGTTCTCTGCGCCCTGCCCTGACCCCCTGCTCAGAGGTGTTGGGCTTGATGTGGCCTCGGCTCTTAAGTTCCTACGAAGCTTTGGGCTTTCCTGGGCCCTCTGACCACCACTAGAACCGCTTGAGGCCACAGAGAGTGAGGTCCGTGGATGGGGGACAGGAGTGTAGTTGGTGTGAGGGGAATGCCCAGGTACTGGAGGAGTTTTGCTGCTGAGGGTCTGGCCCTGAAAGCTGCTGCTGTTCTCATAAATGGACTCCTCTTCGTTTCTCCCATTGAGCATCCTCGGAGGAGAGGGCTCATGAAAAGGCTGGTTACCAGATCCAGCCTTCAGCCCCGATGAGTCCTGGAGATTCTTTGCTTTGTTGTTGATTTTGGAGTCGCCATTGCTCGAATAAGACTGATGGTTCCCATTCAGGACACCGTGAGAATCTGGGAAGGGAGACAGAAATGGTTGTGAGTGAGCATTCCTGATGAGTTAAGGAAGAGGACACTTGAGAAGACAGTTGCAAAAACACACATAAACAAACACAGTGGGAGGGATCTGTCCTGTGTCATCTTTGTCCTACTGGCATTCACCACAAAGTCAGTGCTTCAAGATAAAGGGGGAGCCACCCACAGTGTCCCGGTGGCCCACTTTAAATACTGGTAAATGTCTAAGAGCTGATGTTCTCCTATAGGAACCCAGCAATTGGGATGTTGTGCTCCTCAGTAGTGATGTAATCCTACAGGGATCTAGAGCTGCTAAATATAAAAGCTGTAGCAGTGTACTTCATTCAAAGCAGATCAAATCAGGGCCTGGTCAGGAAAGAGTGGGTCATACACACTGGAAAGGGTGTGGTGGCTCTAACTGTATGTTCAGGCACCGACAGCCAAACTAATAAGGTCAGAGGAGAATGGAGTCTAAATATCATCCACGGCACGAGGCAACAGTGAAAGCAATTAACGTACCAGAACAATGTTACACCACATGAATGGAACTCTAAAAAGAAAGGTTACAACAATCATTTGTCACAATGGGGTCACACCTTGAGCAAAAACCACACATTTAAATGAACTAGATCACAATGTAGGCCACAGATAATTAGCCCTGCGAAAGCTATTTCTGCATCCCGCCTAGGATAATGACCAATGTGTCAAGTAACCATTTGTTAAGAAGTAATCCCTAAAACTCAGATAGTCTTAACAAGTCAGGCATGTGCAATATGTCATCCTAACCAAAGGCCAACGTTTTGTAATTCCATACAACAGATGTACGATTGTTGTTCAGCATTAATGGGAACTTGTTGTACACTAAGGTGAGTAACCAACTGTGTCTAAATATCCTTCAGGCCAAAGTATTTGTTCTGCCTAGAATAGCTACAGAGGAAACTGTTAAACATGTAATGCATACCAGTTTATTTCTGGATCCCTGTTAAGTATTATTACTTAACACAATCTCTGTGTTTTTTCCAGTGACTGGATCACAGGAATGCTACTATCTGGGGCTATAGGTGTTTTATGATTATTTAAGCAGGGTCTTTACCTGTAAGATGAGTTATTGTGGTGTTAGGTCCTTGGCTTCCTCCAGGCAGCATGCTCTTCATCCGCAGGGCCTCCTCTGGATGGTTGAAGCGGAAAAAGACAGACTGACCGAAACACAGCATGCACCCTGCCAGGAGAAAAGAAAGTGTGGGTAAAAACCTGACAGTGATGAGTTTGTTAACATCTTAAGAAAGGATGAGTATTGTCACCACAATAAAATGCACTGCCACAACCGATTTTGATTGATAGAAAACAATAGGGGGTGTGTAGACCCATTTATCTGGAAGATTTATTTAAAATGCCCTGAAGCTGAACCACATTTCATCTTGACATTTGATAAACGAGGAGATCTGAGAGTGAAAGCATGTGGTAGAAAACGAGTCACCCACATTGTGACACAGGCATGGAAAAGAGCTCATACATACTACTATTGTCGTCTATTTGTCTATTATTCAACTACAGGAAGTGTGTTGATTGTTTACCTGACAGAAAAGCAAACTAGTTTAACTCACGTGTGATTAACCAGTAAGTGAAATCATCTCCTTCTCCTCTCCCTGCATTCCTGCCTGATATAATCCCAGAAGATTTGTTTCCAGTTCTGGATAATCCACAGGGAGTTTAACTTTTATTTCATCCTATAAATGGAAGTCAAAGGTCCATAGGGCTGCAACATTGTTCTTTATGATATAAATGAAGAAGTTTCCTCTCTTCTCAGGTTGTTTATAACATGCCATCCTGACATGAGTCCTGTGAATGAAGCAAAGCCTGAAGTATTCTTGTTGAGCAGCTGCTGCCTCCACACACACTGGCTGATCACCCGGCTTCAAATGACATTCTGGTCGAGCTGCTGGCCTTAATCCAGAGGGGACTGAGGAGGGTGGGACTGTTGTGCCTTTTTTTCATGGCAAGTATGCATGTTACTGGAAAGACATGGGACTGCTTTGTTGTTGTGCAGCTTGACAGTGTTGTGTCCACTTTTTCTTCACTGTATTTAATACTCAGCAACTCCTAGTTTATGTGTGATAGTAAGCTAATTATAAAATATCTGAGTAAACATAAATGTGATTCAACAGATAACAGGGTTAAACACGAGAATAGTATAAAGAAATGCTAGCTGCTCTTAAGATATTTGCAGTACCTTGAGCTAAATGCTCAACACGCTCATAAGGACAATGCTAACATTCTGATGTTTAGCAGACAATGTTACAATCACCATTTTAGCGTAGCATGCTAGTATGCTAACGTTTGTTATGTCAATAGTTTTGCAGTTACAGTCATAAACTAAACTTGGCAGGGACTACATTTTATGGGATTCCATTGCAAACTGTATTTATTTGGCTATTACACTTAAAACTACAGTCTTCAAACCTTATGGTAGCACAGGTAAAAAAAAGAAAGAAAAATAAGCTAATCCTTTTACCTCTGGGGATCATGACGTTTCAGCACAAACTGAACATTTTATTTTTTGTTGTTGAAAAATGAAAACTGCTACTAAATTTCCGGCCATAGCAGACACGATACGCACATCTGTACTAATCAACACTATTGGCTAATCTGTTTTATTCTTCTAAGGAAACCAAGTTATTTTATTGATGCAGGAAGCTAGTAAAAAAAAATCTTTAATACCAACACTCATTTAGCATCAGTCACTTAAGACTGTGGCAGTGCTACCTTGAGTCAGGCGATAGGGTTTGGTGATGGAAAGGCCATCGACAGAGCACTGGCTTCCACATGGGTGCAACGTGATGCTGCCTGCTTGGTTTTCGATGTAGCAGTGCTGATCTGCGATGCCCAGGCCCTGCAGAGGTATGTCTGTGGCCCCGCTGCCCAGCGTGTTCCGCCCTGCAACAACAGCAAACATGTTCCCAGCGTCAGTTACAGGAGATCCGTGTGGACCTGCTATTTTAACACTTCGGTGAAGTATTCTTAGCAGTTCGAGGTATACTGGTGTCATCTTAGGGGTCATGGGCACATGCGGCAGTTTCTAAAAACAAGAGGTGTGCTTAGCCTGGCAGATGAAAGGCATAGTGTCAGAATGAGTTAATATAACCATCTACTATTTTCTGTGTTGTCATTTATATCAGTTGTTTTTATATTGCTTTCTGAGTGCAATAGAATTAACCTTTAACATTATTGTTTTTATGTGACAGCACAGAGATGGAGCACAAAGTAAATCCAAGGAGACGGCTCTCACTGGAGCACTACTGTCACACCCTCTCTTCCTCTGTGGTGTTTATGGGCTCAGTGCAAGAAGATCCCAGACAAGGGTATAATTGCAACTGTGGGGCAGTGTTAGCAACAACAACATGGTTATAAGGTAAGGTGTAATCAGTTTGTACAAGTTCATCACTCATGAAAAGTGTTGTTCTAACCTATTACAGATAAAGTGACTTCTTTTGTATAATTTGATTATGAGGGTGTCTTTAGGTGCTCACAAAAACAAAGAACGCAGAGATACAGAGAGGTCAGGGCTTCAATACAAACAGTATTTTACAATATAGGTTACATATGTCTTATTAGCTCCTCTTATAGTCACCTTCACTGTTTAATGGTACAGGATGCTAAGGCAAGACTATTTATTAAACAAGCTGTTAATAAAGTTTCATTAAGTTATATTCAACAAGGATATTAGGAAATCTATAAACAGTAAGTAGTGCACAACTTTACTAAGACAATATATACACACACACACACACACACACACACACACACACACACACACACACACACACACACACACACACACACACACACACACAGGTGTTTACCTTCCAGCAGTGGCAGCAAGGTGATAGCTGTGCTCAAACGTCCACTTCCCAAACTAACCAGGTGGGGGCGCTCTGCCTGGACTTTCAGGGACTTGCCTGGCTCAATAAAGTCCAAAGGAATGCTCTGTGAAATCCATATCAAATAGATAATGTAAATACATGACATTGCACATCAATATTACACATCTTACCACTCAGTGAGGCATCAGTTTTTACTGAATCTTTAAAGTGACACTACATGTATAAAGGGCTAAACGACGCTCTCGTAAGAAGTCCAATATCTGATCTTGATTCAAACTGTCAAGACTCTCGTCCTGAAATCCTTTCACATACCATTGAATAAGATAGAGCCTTCCATTAGATATGAGCTTTATGCACTAAAAGACTGAACACGGTCAGATTTAAATGAATGTATTTAGTCAGACTTACTTAGGAATAAAGAGCATAACATTTAATATTTACATAAGGGAGACAGGAGATAGAAATGTCCATGATGGCATATTACAAAAAAAAGGGTCTTTCTTTCAGCAAGCATGGATTGGCAGAATTAATATAAAATATACAATATACAAAATTCTTGAAAACGTCTTAAATTGTTACCTGTAAGACCTGGTGCGTCTGTCTCCCATGCTCCACTCTGTTCGTCCTCACACGCTCCATCTCGTCTGGATTGTCAGAAGGATCTGACACATGAAGATCCTGAAGCAAACACACACATACGAGAGGGAGGGAAGGAGGGAGAGCAGGGCATGAATGGGAGCACTGGGAATACTGCTACTACAGTTGTACTACAATAGGAACAGTGCTTTCCTTAGAAACCTCCTGCCCCACTTATAAGCCCATGTGACCAAACTATTATACTGGGTAATTGTTTCTCTCGCACCAACCAGACAAAATAATGTATCAAGAAAACTGGCACTGATTTATGCCTCAATCTAAACAACACTTTACACATTGGACAGCACACACAATTGTCCTTAAGACGTGTGGCAGAAGGTAAGCTCTGCAGGTCCTTCGCACATCAGGGGTCAGATCACTGCTTCCTCGAGCCGCGATGAGTCACTGTGACTCATATACAGACCTTACAAACACAAACACACACACAGACAGATGCCGTAGATTAGATCCAGCTGTCTGCTCATCAGACGAGAGGGAAACAGGGACCAGACGGGGCTCAAACAAGCACACACAGACACATAAGCAGCCCAGATGACTCACCATATTTTTCTACTAAAAGCTGGTATCCACGTCTCTCACTATCACCCACATGGGTTAATCGCCCTGGCAACAATTTAATCAGCTCAGCATACCAAGACAAACTGAAACAGACACAACTATTTTCTAGAGTCTGTTTTGTCTACGATGGACTGAACTTAAATGACTATATGTGATGTTTGACTTGTGTCGTAAACACCATTACATTACATTACATTGCATTTAGCTGATGCTTTTATCCAAAGCGACTTACAATAAGTGCATTCGACCAAGAAGATACAAACTTGAAGAAAACAGAATCTTATAAGTACATCAGGTTTCACAGAGCCAAAACATTTCAAGTGCTACTCAACTGGCTTTAGATAAGCCAGTCCTTTATTAGTATATAAGTGCTTATAAGTGCTTTGTTAGTAATTGTATTGCTCGAAGTGGAGTCGAAAGAGATGAGTTTTCAGTCTGCGCCGGAAGATGTGTAGGCTTTCTGCTGTCCTGATGTCAATGGGGAGTTCATTCCACCATTTTGGAGCCAGGATAGCAAACCGACGTGTTTTTGTTGATGGGAACTTGGGTCCCCCTCGCAGTGAGGGTGCAGCGAGCCGTTTGGCTGATGCAGAGCGAGTGCACGTGCTGGGGTGTATGGTTTAACCATGTCCTGGATGTGGGAAGGCCCAGATCCATTCACAGCATGGTACGCAAGTACCAGTGTCTTGAAGTGGATTTAAAGCAGTTACTGGAAGCCAGTGAAGGGAGCGGAGGAGCGGTGTGGTGTGGGAAAATGTTGGAAGGTTGAAGACCAGACGAGCCGCTGCATTCTGGATGAGCTGCAGAGGTCGGATGGCACATGCAGGTAGACCAGCCAGTAGGGAGTTGCAGTAGTCTAGGCGTGAGATGACGAGAGCCTGGACCAGAACCTGCGTCGCTTTCTGGGTCAGGAGGGGACGTATCCTCCTGATGTTGTAAAGAGTTTATCTGCAGCAGCGGGTTGTAGCAACGATGTTTGCAGTGAAGGACAGGTTGTTATCTAGGGTCACACCCAGATTCCTTGCAGTCTGAGTCGGGGAAACAACAGAGGGGCCGATGTTGATTGTTAGGTCAAGAGTGGGACAATCTTTTCCCGGAAGGAAAAGCAGTTCAGTCTTGTCAAGGTTGAGCTTGAGGTGGTGAGCAGACATCCACTGAGAGATGTCTGCTAGACAAGCAGAGATGCGTCCGACGACCTGGGTCTCTGAGCGGGGAAAAGACAGAATGAATTGGGTGTCGTCAGCGTAGCAGTGGTAGGAAAAACCATGCGGGCTAATGACTGATCCGAGCGAGTTTGTGTACAGAGAGAAGAGAAGGGGACCAAGGACAGAGCCCTGAGGGACCCCTGTAGTTAATTGACAAGGGTCGGACTCTCCAAGTTACCCTGTAGGTGCGGTCTTTGAGGTATGAGGTGAGGAGGGAAAGTGCAGATAAATTACACCATCTCTCCAAACAATCCATTTTTTCAGATATGATGACTTTAAAGGCAAAAGTATATGATTCACTTATACTCGTCGAACGTCTGTAAAAAGCGTTAGAATAGAGGTAGGAATGAAAAACAGGACTTTTTGATGTATGTAAGTGCCGTTGAAGTTGAGATAGCTGCTAGAGTATGGGAAAAAATACAAATTTTGAGGAAATTCATTTTATTTTACCACCTGTAATGTCACTTGGGTATATTGTTAACTATTATAAATCATCTTAAAACTTCCCCAGTCAATTAGATTGAATCCCTCACTCTTAACCAAAGGGTTTCACTTGGGGACCGTCAATAAATTACATGTTGAATGACAACAATGTTATTTATTCATGTCTACATGCTAATATTAGTGAAAATAATGATTAATTCTTTTTGTAATAAATTGGTGTAATGTGGCACACCATTTTTTATTACTGATGTGTCATGAATTGATTTCACACAAATATCCTATTAGATCATTTCAGATTGTTCAATGGCTTCTATGTCATGTGACCCAGTGACTCTAAATCCATACCAGAAAGTATACCTACATAAACCTATTTGTATTCGTTTTTCATGATTCTTCTATTTATATGAATATTTGTATGATCTAAATAATATTTCTTTTTATTGAAAAGGCTCTCATGTCATCTGATCAGGTGAATTCAAGTCTGCTCTCCCTCTATATCTCTCTGGTCAAGTAAAGAAGACATAAAAGCTTGGTGCATTACTCTACTTATTCCTTAATTGTCTCACCAGTCTGTTTGCCAGGAAGTGACCACATCAGCCCATTAGCACACCAACACATGACTGTGGCATCAAATGCCTGAGCTCATTGTCGCTCCATGCTGACATCACTGATCAATTAAAATTCATGAAAAACCATCCACAGCTGTTTTGCTCCAATTTTAGCCCTGGCTGAGACAACAGGGCGTTTTATCTGCGTCTGATGTCACTCCAGACGAAGCCGCCGCGTGAAGCCACACATATCTGACAATCCCGTCCTGTGTGAGAGTCTCAGAGGGACCCAGTGACACGGGGAACAGACCGTCCCCTCTGTTCCCCGCTGACACTGGACCCCTCTCGCTCTGCCGTCAGCCCACTGCCTGTCAACACTGGCCCTCTTTGAGCCACGCAGTCAGACACAGGACAGGAGAGTGGGCAGGCTAATGTGTCTCTCGCTGTCTGACTCACACACACACATGTGCACACACACATGCTTCTGCTCCCACAAGCCTCAGTGATTTGACGTACACACCCAGGCCGGAGAATAGTTTTAGTGCTTGCAAATGCAGGGCCTTCCACTGTAACCTGTGATTATGGGAGCAGTTATGCCCTTCAGAGTTGCCATGAGCTTCTGAAAATAGACACCGCCAGCCACACAGTCTGGGCTGCTACTTTGAAAGAGAAATGATTTCTGCTCAGAATGAACACTGACAAAACAGATTACATTTGACATTTTAAAAGGTCCATAAAATAAAAGAGAGTGTAACTTTATTAAGGTGGACACACAGATAGTCAGAAAACTATTTAAAACACAACAGTGCTGCAAACACAACTTACTTAACGGAGAGGCATGCAGCTCTTACCATTTTTCTACTCCTACAGAGTCCAGACAACAGCTAGTTCCATGATAAGTGTGAATTGTGTTAATCCATAAAGCAGTGTCCACATAATTGTTTACGTCTTGCTCCTAGCTTTCTTCATTCACCTACTGAGTTCTTCTGCTATTTCCCTCCTCCCCATCCCGGTGCAGAGTTACAGAGGGGGAACCGCCGTCGGCACTGCCCTCTGAAATGTGCTATTACATCTCCCCAAAGAACATGTTCCTTATTGACTCCCTCCCTTGGCAGATAAACCCTTCAACTTCAATTTCAAAACACCCCATATTAAGAGAGGAGTTGGGGGTTAAAGTCCAGATCCTCCTCAGAGAGTCCTTAAGTTGTATTCACTCCTACGGGGTTTGCATTTCAGGATTCAAAGATCAGATGGACCACACCAGAGGATCAGAGGAGGCTGGAGACCTCTTAAATGCTCCTTAGCGTTGGTAATACAGACAAATCCAGGGTGGAAATACAAATAAGTGTAGGAGTAAGGAGATGGAAAATACCTTGTGTGCTCTGACTTCCTGCTCTGATGTAACACACTTGAAAACGGGTATTTCCAATCTGGAAAACTCTTTATGATAATATGACAAAGCATGGATACTGTGTCTACTGTGCTTTAAACATCCATGATGATGGGATAGAGAAATACCAAGATCCACAGGAAGTGGGCGAACATGTGTGAGCCATCTTTCCAGAAGTCCCACAGGAACGACTTCGAACTATTATACAGTCAGAGAGAAAGAGAGAGTGGGAGAAAGACTCCACTATTGATCTCTCAAGGCTTTTCCCATGGTCGGCGGCCAGAGAGGAGATGGAGGAAGTGAAGGAGATGATGAGTCACTGAGGAGAATACAAACAAACAAAGAGAGGCAAACTAAGTAACCAGATGGACTTGGAGCAGTGATGATGTGGAGGTTACAGCTGAGGGGGTGAAACATTCCTGCATGTCATTTAAATGTGGATTTTAAATCTACACTAGTCAATCTAGCTAAAGCAAGCAAGTAACATTATTATAACAAATGTAACACAAAGATTTAAAGGAGGATACAAGTTCCCCGTTACAAGAGTATTTGCTCGCTGCAGCGTCAGCATGTGTGCTTTACTGATCGCACTGATGTGAGGATTTCTTCTAGTTCTTGAGTCATGTGTCTGGTTCAGAATGTAGAGTTTTTCTTAGATACACACTCTGTCTAAAGCTGTGGAGCAGAAGGATGCCCTGACATGACGGTAGACAGGTGGTCAAGTTACTCGAGTAGCCTTTGAGTCATTTGGGAGTCTCCAAACATCCCAGTCTTCTGCTAGTCTAATGCACTCCACCACCACTTTCCCCAGACACCTTGTTATGTCCGTCAGCCCTTCACCCCGTGGCTTTCCTGCACCTCTTCTTTCCTCGGATGCCCAGTGCATGGTGGTATTTTGCCTTGGACCTCTTTGTTTTTGAAATGTGTCCGAACCACTGTTACATTTGCGAATCACGTCAAGCCACCACACAACTTTAGGATCCCTGAGCTGTGTGTTGTGGGGTGAGTGGACACCCAGTAGGACTAAAAACAAAACCAGTCAAAGGGTGGATGTTTTCCCTCATACCTCTGGGAAACCAAACCTGGAGAGGAGATCAGAATCACCAGGGAAACAGCTGAATGAAACCCAACACAGACAGGTGGAAGCATGCTCAAAATGCTTTGGCAGGATACAGTCAGACGCAGATAACATTCCCTAAAGTTGAAGAATGTGTAAAAGTCTAATGAGAAACAGATTTAGCTTTCCTTTTCGCATTAGTTCAGGTAACAGGGACTTCAGTGCCCTGAACCCTGTCTGCACTTCCTCTCTGGAGTGCACACATCCTCCTTCTTCCGCTAACATTGACAGGCCATAACATGAACTCTGACCTAACGTTGACCCGTAACTGAATTGTGGAGCTTGTTGTGGCTTGGAGGAATGCTGCATGAATGTGAGACTCAAATCAGGATAAGAAAGACCCTCATCCGGAGGCAGCCGTGTGATGACAGTCTGATTCACAGATGAGTTATACAGATTATCATCATCTACAAAGAAAGACCCAGTTATTTGGAGGACAGTGGTATCTGTTATTCAGCCACAAATTAACGATGTGTGCACATGAATGTCTTATCTGATACAACACCCATATTCTCATATATTGCATCCATCTTAGATCCAACTTGTGTCATGAGATCAGCCTTATACCACCTTGATGGAGCACTCTCCCAGACGAACATGAGCAACAACTAAGAACAGAAATCTGCGCGTATTAAGATTTTATTTTCCTTTTTATCCTCTGCCTACTTTTCTCTGTCTCAACCAAGACAATGCACATGCAAACAAGTCATAATCATATGGCATATTTTACCTATTTAAATTAGATTAGATTAGATATACATAATATATAGAAATGCATCACATTGCAGGGTTTTTAGGCACTTAAAAAAAATATCTACTCACCGAGGCTTGTGTTTACCTCACACTCCTGTCAGGTGAAATACTGCACCAGCCTATAACTCCAACTACAAAACTGGACGCGTGAGCCCTGAAGGCAGCCGGATCTCACACACATAAAAATGCTCATTCAGAGAAGGCTGGGCTTGGCTCCTAAACTCTCTTTTCCACCTGCTCTGTAGTGGTGAAGTTATACATTGGCACGCAATAAGGATAATGAAAGTATGTGACCTCTCTCACACACGTTGAGTGGGTCGTGTCAGGCTGAAAACCATGAGGGTAAACTGCCACAATGGCTCCATTATCTCTTTCTCTCTCCCACTCTCTCTGCTTCTCGTTGCACCACACACACACACACACACACACACACACACACACACACACACACACACACACACACACACACACACACACACACACACACGCTCACACACACATTCGAGCAAACATTTTTGTTTCTCATTACCAGAGCTGGCGATGAACATCTTCTTGTCTGTGGGATGATTCAGTCCAAAGATTAGAAACACAGCAGACGAGGCATCTTCCCAAGTGTTCATGAGAAAAAGTCTCTCTCCTAGAGGATGGAAATATGCTGTCAGCTCTTCCCTGCTGTTGGGACAGTTTCAAAGTGAAACAGTCAGATCCTCCACACACACGTTTCTGCCGGGTCCACCCCTCTGTCCGGCCCTTTTTCCTCTACCCACTTATCATTTATTTTCCCCATTCTTTCTTACATTGCCCTATGATTCCCACAAGCTAGATGTGTTCTCTTCTCAGATGTACAGACTGTACCTAATAAAAAGGGCCTTTTTTCCTTTCCCCATTTATTTGAATCTTACATTGCCCCGTGATTCCCACAAGTTAGATGTGTTCTATTTTTCAGATGTAAAGACTTTACCCAGTATACACTTAAACTCCTTAACTCCCTTCAGGTTACTTTTTTGTTCCTTGTATTAGTCCATTAGCTGTAATTAACAAAACATGGAAAAGCAGTCAAGATGACATCACTTCAGACTCATGAAGGGATAGATTGAGAGATGCACAAGTGACTGATTTTCTCTCAAGTCAACCATTTCTGTCACTTTACAGAAAGTACTTCCTGCCTTAAATTACATATATATTGTAAAACCACAAAAGCAGAGGATAACTGAAAAAAACTCAGCATATCTGTTTGTTTTCCACTAACAGCTGAGAGGAGAAGGTTCATTTAGAGCCGTTGACAGAGTGCCAATCAGGAAATTATAGTTATCACACAGGGTTTTTTCCTCACAGGCTGGAATTTTTAGCCCGGCTGCCGGTGTTGGACACGTTGTCAAGGCCTGAGTAATTGGTTCAGCCTGTCCTGGGCTCAGTTCAAACCCGGTGCGTCATGCTGCTTTTGCCACTAATAAAACAGTGGAAGCAGACAGAAATACCTGCAGGCTCTCCTCCTTCTTTGCGTAATGGTTTTGGGGGATTATTTTAGGTGGATATGTCTGAAACGTAATGACTTAAACAAGCAATTCCCACCACAGATGACATTAAAATAACCGCTCCTGTTAGCAACCAAATCTCACACGCAGAAAGTGTGACTGCTAAGAGGAGTAATGGATCCTAAAGATGGTCAAACACTTCACTCTTTTACTGTCACTGCTTTCATGTCGAGCAGAGAACATCTGCACACATGTTGAATATCTGTTGGAACAATGAGAGCAGTGAGCTGTCTTCAATTGTTATTAAATGGAAACACACATGGGCATTGACACGTCACATATCAGAGATTTTCAGGCATGAAACCGTTGACCCCTGGTGGCAAAGCCAGTGAATTTCACCCCCAACATTATTGTTCTGACATGTTTGATTGGATTAACCGTCTCAGTGTATTTGCAAATCTTGGATATGTTTGTAGTCCAATCACTGTACTGCATTTTAACAATGTTAAAGAAGCCATTACTTGTATTTGTATCTGCTGTGCATTGTTGACAGTTTTTTCTCTTTTGGGGTTTACACCTATCCTGGTATAATTTAACAACATCCTTACTGGACAAATATTGTAAACCTAACGCCTTCCACAACACAAATGTACATGGAGCTAACAGTTAAGGTTTTATAATGTATATTGGTATTGTATGAGTTTCTTAATAAACAACATGATGTACTTGAACTTTATCCAAATGCTTCTTTGGGCCCTTTTTCTCATACAGAACTGTTATTGCTTGAATTCGGATTTATTTCTCAATTTCTATCGAGAGGCTTGTATTTAGGACTATACAGGGTAAATTCATGTGTTATGTCGTGGGAGCTAACAGTAAATGTGTTATAAGGAATATAGCCATTGGTAATGTATGGTTTTTATGTATTTTAACTTTATCTAAATGCTTCTTACGCCTTTCTAATAGAAAACTGCTCTTGCTTAAATTCTGATTTATTGAACAATTTCCAACCTGAAGTTTGGATTTAGGATTATATGGGGTAAAATAACTCTGTATGCCACATGTACTTTATCAGATGTCACTGTGCTCCTGCTTGTAAACTGTCTGCGGATGTTTGCATCTTCAGTTGTAAATAAGGAAACACCTGGAGCTGCAAGCAGAAAGAGCCGTTACTGGTTTATGCAGAAGTTTACCGCACAGATGCACAAGCTGCAGCGCTATACATGACATATTTAGCTGAGGACATGTTTTACCAAATAAAGTCAGGGAAGAGAAAGTGCCCAAATTCTAAGTTACATTGAGCTTTTTAACATACTTGCAATGGTCAGTTTGAGTACTCCCAGCTACAGCTAATATATATACACAGCTGTGTTCTTATTTATTTCTAGCTAAATATCACCATAAATAACCACAGAAACTATGGTTTAGTGTTTGACACTATGAATAAATGTAAACTACGTGTTTTTAAGTGTACACATTATGGGAATCATGGATTACTCTTTGACTGAGACTATTTACTATGCTTTTAGCAAATAATAATTTGACCTGCAGTGTATGAAATGTAATGCACTGGAGGATTGGTTAATTTTAATTTAGTTCAACTTAAACTGAGGATATTAAATCAGACTTCCACAAAAGGTTCAGTCATGCTGGAATCGACCGGATGAACGCTGCAGTTTGTGTAGCAGCTTCCGGTAACGTTGCAACTTGCAACCCTTTGCAGTGCATTTTAGTAATCCCTAAAAATAGTTTAGTTTATTCCTTAACATGTGAATGGCCTGCTGAATAAGCACTATTGTTTAGAAAACTAGGTGGTTACTGTAAGGGTTGAAAGATGAACACTAGAAATCAGTAACTATGGACGACATGTGGACACTGTAAGGATAGCTAGTGTTACATTAATACAACGGCTAACTTTCTCTCACATAATTAGCAGTTAACATCAGTTAGCATGAAACATCAGTTAGCCTAGCGTTGAACCACAATAGTGCCAATTACTTTAACAAAACAATCCTTTATTAAATAAAATGCGAAAAGAAACATTTCAGGAACAATCATTCTCTGGATGAGAAGTGGGTGGCCCTTAAAAGGGCCTTTGGGGTAAAGAGTTATTAGCCAGAAAGCTAATACTCCTGGGACTGGGATGAGGCCTTCTTTCCCGCCTTGCCGGAGCTCGCGGCAGCCTGGCTGGTCTTCTTGGGGAGCAGGACGGCCTGGATGTTGGGCAGGACACCGCCCTGTGCGATGGTCACTCCGCCGAGCAGCTTGTTCAGCTCCTCGTCGTTGCGGACAGCTAGCTGGAGGTGACGGGGGATGATGCGGCTCTTCTTGTTGTCTCTAGCGGCGTTGCCAGCCAGCTCCAGGATCTCGGCGGTGAGGTACTCCAGCACCGCGGCCAGGTACACGGGGGCTCCGGCGCCGACTCGCTCAGCGTAGTTACCCTTGCGGAGGAGTCGGTGGACACGGCCTACTGGAAACTGCAGACCGGCACGGGAGCTTCGTGTCTTGGCCTTAGCACGGGCCTTTCCTCCGGTTTTCCCTCTTCCAGACATTGTTGTTTGTTGTGGTTATCCTCAGCAAGGTAATACTGCAATCGTGCGTTCTACAAGTGATGTGGAAGATATTCGCACAACCTGGATATAAACCCCAAGCTTGGTCCCGCCTTAGGACGTGATTGGCTCTTGGAATAAACATAGTCAAGTATGATTGGCTTTGAGAGATCACAAGGGACCGGAAGTCACTGACGATTGGCGTATCTTCTCTGAAGTCAACAAATCACCATGGGCCCTGTAGTTGAAGCTAAAGCGATTGGCTGTTGTTTTCCCTGCTTGATGTGAGTGGGTCCTGTTGAAAAGAGGCGTATAATAAAGACCAATCGGGTGTCTTCCCTCCAGCTTTAAGTTTTTTGGCGCTTTAATGAATGCTGCAGTAAAAGTAAAGCAAATCGTTTTCATGAACTTTGGTGGCATGAGAAAATTGAACACCTGAAAAGAGTCAAAAACTCATAGTCATGGGCAGATCTAAAATCAGCAGGTACTTGTTTTATGACATTGTAGGCTATGTTTGTATTTAAAGTAACTCTACACAACTACATTTTGTAAAGTATTTACACCAGAAAACAAATAACTTAAAAAAAGTATTTGGCACCTCCTGAAAAATAAAATAAATATTCAGTAAACATTTAGTGAAGCTTCAAAAATAATTTATTTGCAATAAATTAAACATTTCAAATATAACATCAGAAATCCTACATATCTTAAATGTTGCACCTGCTTCATGTTAAACATTCCAGCCATATATAATGTGTCTTCAGACAATAAAATAGCTTTGTTCGTTTATTCAGTGTTTTGAGTAGTTTTGTAAAGTACATGATCAGTTTGATAGCAGTGGCTCCACCTATGTGATCCCCTTTTCATATCTATTATTTTATTGGTGCAAATAACCCTGATTCGGTTGCTCTGAAGTCCCAAAATTAATGCAGTCAGTTGAGTTTTTATCAGAAAAATATATGGCCAAAAACACATGTACATTTTTACATGCTGGTTGGGGTTATGTTTTCCTTTAGGTGGAGGTTTACTAATGTCTAGTTGCTAGAAGTCTTCTAGCCCTGAGTATGTCCTCTCTACCTATCCGCTTGTCGTGAAATCACATCTATCTTTTTAAAACCTTTCCAAAGACCTTTTCTTGGTCTAAACTGTTGCATGTTTGTCACTCATTTGAGACTGACATTTATTTCAAATGAATCACTCCGATAATGCTCCTGAATATATAATACAGAATGTGTTGCTATGATTACTTAACCTATGTGAGGAATTTTGCACAATATACAGTATGCAGTCTTGCTGCAAAGTAATGACCATTATTGCAATAATGAAATGTCCACATCAACTGAATTCACTATGATATACTCGTATATTTTACTTAATGGGTGTTAAAAGTAGCCGCAAGGAGAGAAATACCTGAACATATATTATTTACCGACATAATTTATATCAAACTTATTGCCCTGCTTGAGTCTGCTCGAGAACCTTGCTAGTTGAAGTTTCACAAGCAAACGGAAAAGCATTATATGTTTTATGTTCCACAGAAAGTACCTTTACAATAAAAAAGGATATTTTCTTATCAGATACAACATTGAACAATCTTTTAAAACCAATGTAAAAGCAATTATGAATTGACGTACTAGATTATGACCGATCTTTGTTATTTTACTGAAACTATGGGCTTAAATCTACATTTGCTTGGAAAAACACAGAAATGGCTTTATTTTACAGTGTAAAGAAACTACGATGACTTTCATTTTTTGGGGGGTAAAATAAATAGCACTTGTTTCACGAGAACCACATAATGAATGACTGTTATACATCCAGGGAATTGTACACGTGCTGATAGAAAAAACAGTCTCAAGTGCAATCAAATGCATCATACTGGCTTTTTTTATATCAATAAATAGCGTTAGAGCATTTTCAGCATTGGTCACAATCAAACACTCCTGCAGTAGTTTGTGTTCAAACAGGCACAAGACATTTCATTGTGACTTCTCCTCATCAAGCAGCAGATTTCTCCTCAAAAGAAAATGAATCACATTTAAACCTCAGTGGTGTGATATAACATGCCTTCTGTCCCGAAGGTGCAATCATTTATCTCCACAGGAAAGTCCTCCCAGAGGTATCCTCCTTTCAAGACGTCCAGGTGCCGACCCACCAGGGGTGTTCAGTCCGTCCAAAAACAGGTTGATGATCAGTTATCCAGTGAGCTCGCCCCTCCGTTGGTAGCTTTGCCTTTTGATTTGCCCGATGAGCGGAAAGAGAAGCGTTTTATCAGACGCCGAGAGAAGCTGCCAGACTTTTTACGGTTGATAGTTGCAGCGGCAGCAAAGTTATTGCCCATGTTGGAGATGTCTTCGTGGGATTGGCTGAGACTGGACTCCTTCTCTCGATGTCTTCTGCGGAACAACAGCTTCGTTCCACTTTGGAGAAAGCCCACTAAAGGAAGCAGACAGATTTGTCAGTGTATTTAATCCTCAGTTACAATATTCGGGCTATAGAGAAAAACGCTAACCAATCACATAACTACTGGTTTAATAAATTAATGTAAATTAGATTATGAGATAGCTCCTTTATCGAATTGATAATTCAATTGAGCACAGATCCACTTAATACCACGTTGGTCTGACTGTGTTCATTCTGCAGCACAGCATCCAGGGGGCAGCAGAGTGTGTCATGCTATATGGCCTTTCAATCTGTCATAGCACAAATTAAGTTTTGATGTGATGCTGGGTTAAAATCGATTTGTTTTCACATGGAATAAACTGGACTATGTAATAAACTAGTATTGAGGGATGAAAAAGAAAAATACATGGAGAGAAATAGTCTAAATCTATTGAAATGATGCTCTAATGACGAGAAATGTGGCAACATGCAATCATAACATGTGCAAAAACATAATTAGAATAGCTAAAACATGTGTTTACACTTAGTAGAAGGCATTAATGAACAATATTAGTAGAAACTGGTTCTCTAATGTTTTCAGTGCGCAGACCAAGCAGCAGACTATGACCCCCGTGTTACCTTTATGGTCCTTGAGGCTGCAGGTCTCCAAGGCCCCAGCCGAACCAGTATCCGACTCCACATCGTCCACAGAGGGGCGCTCCGACACATCGGAAGGTGTGGTTTCATCGGCCTCCTGGTTTTGCCCCGCCCCGTAATGGTTGCCATGCATCGCTGCGTCCATGGCTGCAGCGTAGCCGCTCGATAACGCTGAGTCATCTTCTGAGAGGGGAACCTGCCGAGTGTTGGATATTGACTCAAATGATGCCCTTTTAGAAATGTGAGCATGAATAATGAATGGATGATAGGAGTGAGGGACGTGTGTAACTGATTGTTGGACCTGGAACACTGCTTATTATGAATACTTGAAATATATCATGGACACTTAAAATCGTGACACATACCAGTGAATTGTGTGAAGGATAGCCTCTTTCACTGAATATGTTTCTGCAGTCTTTCAGGCAAAAACAAATCAGGTCAGAGGACTCTAATTCCCCTATAATGTGGACCAATGGGGGACTGGGGCTGTGGGCTAAATTTAGATCAAACTCATTTTGCCTGGCTCCATGTCATTCCTTAAAGGTAGGTTTCGCAAACCTTGTCAATGACTCATTTACTGAAGAGAAGTTAGGTAAATCATCTACAAACAATACCATGTTGATATATGTTCACAAAATAGCTCTAAAAGAAAGACACCGTACTGTCTGGTTTTTCTTTTTCCAGTAATGGCACTTATTCAACAACCACTACATTTGACACAGTCTCCATCCTCTGACCTTTGACACGCCTGAGATGATCAGCGTGCTCCTCTTCGTTGGCGTCTTCCGTGATACTTTGGCGGCGGACTCTGTCAGCTGCCGGATGGCCGTCTCTGCAACAGGATCCAGGCCATTAGACAGGCGGCTGCTCTCTGAGCAACAAGAGCACACACACATGTAAATCAGCACTATACTAGTAAAAAGGCGAAATAGAGGTTCTCAAAAAGGGTGAGCATTATTACAATGAATTTTGTTCCTTTTTTGTGTCTAAGAAAATTCAAATATGTAAGTAAATTATCAAACATTGTCTTTTATGTCCGTCAGACATTTCTGCAAGTCCTTTTTCTGTGAAACTACATTAAGGTTTTGATCAGGAGTACCTGCAGGAGAGATGTGTGCTGTGAAGTGCATTCCTCTCATCTCCTGTTACACTGCAGCCTGCTGCTTATCCTACTTTGCATTGTTATGTAAAACCGTGTCAGTCCTTTCTCAAACTCACTGCTGAGGTTGGGGCTGGGGCTGCCGTCTGTCAGGATGGTGGCTTTCTTCTCCGTCACCTCCAGCTTAGACGGCGAGCGCAAAGGGGATTCACCTGAAATCACAACCATGTTATCTCAATTGTTTCTCTACGTTATGTATAGCTTCTCGTACAACTATCCCAGCACAATGTTATAGATGACTCTGTTTATCTACCTGGACTGCGGTCCAGTTTGAGTCGAGACTGGATGGTGGTGACCGTGGTTACGATGGTTCCATCCGGCATGATGGTTCGGTCCACGTCGACTTTCTTACTCGGGGTGAGGGAGGAACGAAGTGGCAAAGCATTGTGGGGGCTGCGTGGCTCTTCTGTTTCCACATAAACCAGCTAGAGGAGGGAGAAAAACAACTTGATTTTGCTAATAAGGTGTAAAGTGTGGATGGGCACTCTATTAAAGAAGTCAGCACTTGATTTAAATAGAAATCTGGACCTGCAGGGCACATTTTAGATGAGTAATCAGTTCAGGTATAACAGGTTGTAGGAGGAAATGTTACCGTGCAGAGAAGAAGCAGACGTTTTGTTATCTTTGAAGAAATATGTAAATGTCAAGTTGAACGGAAAAAATGCCAGAAGAGATGAGAGACAATGGACTTTGTATCAGCTGTTATACAACACTGCCTCTCCCTTTGTGTTGAAGCTTTGTTTCATCCCAGCTCGCTTGATGTTAGATAATAAAAGTGTGATGTAACTGTGCACTTCAAAAGCTGGAGATCGGCTTTGAAAGAGCTTTCCATCATTTGACAGAAATGAGCTGCATCTTGTCCCTCACCTCTGCTGTGATGGTGGCGTTTGGAGCCAAGCCGTGTCCGGGGCTGATGGACAGCGTGTGTTGTCCGGTG